GACAGAGGTTTAAGAGCTAATATTCGAACACGATTAGATTTACTAACAGCAGATTCTTCCTCTGATTTTATTACTAAGGTAACCTTAGCTGAAAGATCAACGTTGTCTAAAAATGATGATTTGTCTGAGCTCGAAGAGAATGAACAATTAAAAAATACAATTACAGCTTTGTCTCAACATTTACAACAAATAACTGAGAGATTAGATTGTCTAACTTTCCAACATGATATGAAAAGGAGAGAGAGAGAAAATTTTCGAAACAGAAATGATTATGGAAGCAACTATTTTAGATCGAGAGGTTATAGGAGTAATTATCGAGAGAATTACAGAGAAAACAACTATCGAAACAATAACTATCCATCCAACAATCAGAAACAAGATAACAATCAACAAATCATTTGTTATGGGTGCAATGAGCCAGGGCATAAAAGGAATGAGTGCCCGAGACAAACTGATCAACTAAGTGAACGAAAAAGTATTGGGTGGACCAATCAAAGTCCATCAACATCTAAAGATAATAATTGGCGCGCTCAGGCTCAATCACAAGATAATAGAAAGCAACCATGGTATTTGAATAGGAATTTGAGTAGATCTCCTCCTCGATCAATGCGTCCGACCCGCCCAGAGAAATATAATTATCCTACATCAACATCTCAAAGAAACAGATCATTGAGTCCTAGACCAAGAGGTAGACCTAGACAAGGTTCTCCTCACCCACAGGGCAGAGGAAGACCACGATCACGATCACGTTCACCATCAACTGAACGAAAAACAAAAGTAGTAAAAACAGTTTACACTGAATATGAAGATGAAGAGGAAACCAAACTTTCTAATTCTATAATCTCAAATCTATTCAAAAAAAATCAACTTATTTTCACAAAAGCAAAAATTAAAGGTCAATACGTAGATTGCTTAGTTGATACAGGAGCTGAAGTGTCATTATTGTCCAAGCAATTAGCTGATCAATTAGCTCACAAATTTCATGATTATAAAGGTCCAATTCATCTAACCGCCGGAAATAAACCTTTAAATGTTCTTGGTGAAAGTTATATTAAATTAGAAATTTCAGATGGAGCAACTACAACTGAATTGAAATCACCAATGATAATAGTTGACATTTTACCCGCAGGAATTGAAGCAATAATTGGACAAAATATTTTAGAAACAGGTCAATTTTTTATTGATTGTAAAAGGAGAAAGTTGATAATTCCCCTGAACCCGAAAGAGAAATTTGAAAAAATAGATTTAACTTTTAAATCAAGAAAGAAACCATTAACAACCTCGTCAATCATTTCTTCCGATTATGAATCAACCCTAAGTTCGATAAAATCGTCATTAATAACAACAGAAAAAATTCATTCATCAACAATTAGTTTGTCATCACTATTTTCAGTCTCCGGTGATGGGGAAGAAAATAATGAAACAATTTATATCAACAATGTGATCAATGAATTGAAACTTGAGATAAATAATGAAATTAAGTTGTCAACTCGAGAAAAATTAGATAAATTGATAACTAAGTATCGAGATGTTTTCGCAGCAACATCCAGAGAACTGGGCTTTTCAAATGTTTACTCTCATCAGATAGATACTGGAAATCATCCACCAATAGCCCAGAAACCGTATCGAATGTCAGATTTGAAAAGAAACATAGCAGAAAAGTCAATAAATGAATTAATAGATGCTGGAATCGTCATACCTTCTTGTTCACCATGTGCCTCTCCAATTGTTTTAGTATCAAAAAAGGGAACAACAGAAATGAGATTGTGTGTTGATTATCGAAAATTAAATGAGATAACAGTCAAAGATAAATTCCCTTTACCAAATATTTAAGATTATTTAGATAGTCTTAGGGGAATGAAAATTTACACATTATTAGACTTAAGATCAGGATATCACCAAATGGCAATGGATCCAAGGGATCAACCCAAAACAGCTTTTGTTACCCCAAGCGGGTTATACGAATACACTCGTCTTCCATTTGGTTTGGCCAATGGACCTTCTTCATTCATGAGAATGATGAGTGTGGTACTAAGCGGACTAATTTACAACACTTGTTTAGTATTCATTGACGATCTATTAATTTATTCTGAAACAGAAGAAGAGCATTTAAATAAATTAGAAAAGATATTCGTAAGACTTCAAAATGCAGGATTAACGCTGAAACCTAATAAATGTTCTTTCTTAAAAAGAAAAATTTTATTTTTAGGTCATGTTATCAGTGAAAGTGGTCAACAAGTTGATCCAGAAAAAATAATTAAAGTACAACAGTTTCCCACTCCAAAGACAATGAGAGATATCAAATCATTTGTTTCTTTATGTTCTTATTACCGTAGGTTCATCAAGGATATATATGCTTGCTTTGCTAATATCGCTAGACCCTTGACCAACTTAACTAGAAAAGATTTACCTTTCAATTGGGGTCCAGATCAAGAAAACGCTTTTAATGAGTTAAAATTGAAACTAACCACTCCACCAGTCCTTGCTCATTATGATCCAAATAAGGAAACACAGTTACGAGTGGATGCTTCAGGTTACGGTTTAGGTGCAATTTTATTACAAAGAGATGAGAACGGTTTTCATCCAATTGGATTTGCCTCTCGAATATTGAGAGGAGCAGAATTAAATTACCCAGTTTCCGATAAGGAATGCTTGGCCATTGTTTGGGCAGTACAGAAATTTCAAGTTTATTTAGAGGGAATTAAATTCGAAGTAGTTACTGACCATTGTGCATTATGTCATAATGTCATTATGTCATTATGGCCTCAGATAAGTAGAGATATAACTAACTATGTTAGGAGTTGCTTAACATGTCAATTAGATAAGAGAGGTAGTGGCACATTAGAAGCCCCTTTAAAATCAATTATTGTTAATCAGGCTTTCGACAAAATTGGTATTGATTTAGTTGGTCCATTCCCAACATCACATAAAAACAATTACATTATCGTATGTACTGATTATTTTACTAGATGGGTTGAAGTAAGAGCGATAAAGGATATGACCGCAGAATCAACAGCCCATTTTCTTATTGAATCTATTTTCCTTCGACACGGTTGTCCTCGAACAATTGTCTCAGATCAGGGTAGAAATTTTATTTCTTCAGTAGTTGAACAAGTTAAAATATTTTTTGAAAGTAAATGGTCATTTTCAACTGCATATCACCCAGCAACTAACGGTTTAACTGAAAAGGTAAATCAAACTCTTTGTTCAATGTTAACACATTATTGCAAAAGGGAAAATACTAAAAAATGGAGCGAGTTAATCCCAATGATGGGATTCGCTTACAATACAAGTATTAATCAATCTACAAAAGCATCACCTTTTTATTTACTATACGGTCGTCAACCAAAATTACCTATTGATATTATAATAAACACTCCAAAATTCAAGCAATTGCCTTCAGATTTAAGATCAACAATCAAAAAATGGCCTGAGATTCATGATCAAGCAAAGCTTTACTCTTTGAACTCAAAAGAAAATCAAAAATTACAACAAGATCGAAAGAAATTACGAACTTATCAAGTAGGAGATGAAGTTATGTACAAACAATTTCAGGGACCAAAGAAACTGAAGCAAAAATTTAAAGGACCATATAAAGTGATAGAAAAACAAGGAGAAACCACTTATAAAATACTACGAACCGATAAAAAGGAAAAAATAAGACGAGCCCATAGTAACTCAAGCCGTACTTTCATAGAAATTTAATTAATTTAGTAACAATCTTAAGCATACTTACACGAATTGAGATGTTAGAGATCTCTCCTTTTATCTCTGGTGAACCTATTCTATGGAGAAAAACTGACTATCACCCAAGAAAATCAGCTCAACAAGTCTCTGTCATACTAGCATTTTCGAACCCATGTAAAGAAATCCCAATTGTTCTAAAAACAGACAAGGAAAGAAATGAATCCATTACATGTGAGTATAATCCAGCCATGTGTAAATACGTAAGGAAAATTCTGGACAAATTTGAAGAACATTGTTCATCATTTATTGATGAAAATTACATAAATCCTATTCGTAATATACCGAATGTAACAACCAAACCAGAAGAAAATATTATAAAAATAAGACGAGAAATAATCACTGCGGGAACTGTAGCCACCACAATAATAGTTGGTGGAATAGTAATTAGTGGCGTTAACTATTTATATAAACACATTTTCAATCCCGGAATAGAAATACAACCAGTACTAACATCCATCGCAGAGTCTAACCAAGAATATAAGAAGCTGATAAAAAGCAGTTTGAACAATTACATAATGTAAGCCAACAACTGTTTTCAATTCAGTTCAATGTGAATCAACTGCCTCAATATTTACCGTTAATAACATTTCAAGCCGCCGAGACGGTAACGCAAGCAAATAACCAGCTTAATCAATTAAAACATTTTAATGAAACAATTAGAGAAGCTAAACCAAGGATTGATAAGAATTTCTTTAAATACTTCAGAATTGTTTTACCCTGCTCACCAGAATGTTCATTAGATGAAATTGAAAATGTTAATGTAAACGTATACAATAACGAAAGATTTCCAACATTAATGGTAAATTTTACAACATTTTTACGAGATACCACTAACCAAATATTTCAAGCAGATGCATTTACATTATATAATAAAAATAATACACACACTTGTAAAGTTACATATAAAGGTCCAGAATATGTATTAGTCAACATCACTGATTATCGATTCTGTGAGATTAGCGAGAAGGACTTGAAAGGTCATAATCCCATCTTTAAGAAAGTATCGAATTGTAAAGAAAACTTGAAGAAAATTGAACTTTGGAAGAATGAAGTTTGTTTCAGCAATAGCCATAATGTTACCACATACGCAGAAACGATTCAAGTTAAACAAATGGGAGAGCAGTATTTAATACATTGTGCAGGACACCCAATTACTTTATATAGTAATATTAAATATATTTGTCCAAATAATGTGATAAGATTATCAAAATATACTAATTTTACTATTGATGACCTAGAATATACAGGGCTATTCAGCTATTTTTACCGATGTTTTTTGTGATTTTCTCAGCAACTAAGAGTCAGAGAGACACGAGACTTGAGTGGTATGAGTTTGAGCGATACTCAATTGTCATATCAGAAGATCAAGGTCATTCAGGTCATCGGTGAAATAACGCGTTTCAAGGTCATCTGAAGGTGGCTCGGTTATACTCCACATTTTTTAACGCTGGATAATGAGTTTAGAGATCGTTGTTGTTACAGATCTTGAAATATTTCAGTTTATTTGAATAACTGTTGAAAATCTTCTATTCAATTAATTTATCTTAACGTGCAAAGCAAAGCTCATAGAAACCTTAAAACTTGTCAGCAGTATAACTGAATATTCTTCATTGTTGAATCACTTTCAGATGACCTTGAAACGCGTTATTTCACCGATGACCTGAATGACCTTGATCTTTTGATATGACAATTGAGTATCGCTCAAACTCATACCACTCAAGTCTCGTGTCTCTCTGACTCTTAGTTGCTGAGAAAATCACAAAAAACATCGGTAAAAATAGCTGAATAGCCCTGTACAGTTCAAAAGTTCCAAATTCACAGTCAAGGTTCACCGGTATCAGAACATACACATGCAATAAATTTACGATTAACTCAACCATTGGCTAAAGAATTACAAATTGAACCACTTGATTTCACATTAATCGATGAAGCTCAAGAGAAAATTGAAACAAGTATCAACCACCTTAAAATCAATTGGAAAATGAATGTACCAATGTGGATTTGGATACTTATTTGTATTACCATCAGCTTTTTTTGTTGTGTTATCGGTTGTAGATTAATCCCTTATCCAAAGAGATCAATAAATTCAATTGTTGTCGAAAAAAGAAAAGATAAAGATGAAACACCAGAAACTAGCGTTCCACTACATCAGTGTTATTAAAATTTAGTCGAGCTCCGGTGCTGGGGCAGTAAATTAATTACCCCGGTGATGGGGATTAAAAAACACAACAGAGACGTATAAATATAATTATTTCCCGGTGATGGGAATTCAATTAACTAAAAATCTTATTATTCAAACTCCGGTGATTTGGGGTAAATGAATAATTTAAGTTTTCTTTTCTCTTCTCTCTCTCTCTCTTTACAAATAGGATGGCGTCAGGATGGGAAAATAACTATGCAGCTCCAAATCCTAGATTAGAAGCATTTGAACAAAAAATGGAAGCAAAACAACGACGAAAGGCAGTTAAAATTGATCGAATTTCATTCACCTCGCCATCAGAAGCAATTTTTAGACAGTGTTTCCTTGTACTATCAATATTTGCACCCAAATTCACCAGCTACTTTGGCCATGTTTGGAGACCAGAAATTATTTCACCTGAATATGAGATCAGTGGAACACCGAAGGAGATGAATAAGTACACTAAATTAACAGTAACAGCTAATCACCCTGATAAAATACGAATGGCCCATCATAAACTAAATCAATACACTGAACTATTAAATTATAAAAATAGCAGAAATTCTACCCAGATTCAACTAATTCAAATACCCGAAAATCATTGCTCTTTGTGTTTCCGTTCTGATCATATGAAAATTAATTGTAATTATTGCTCGTACTGCAGTGAACTTGGTCACTCTGCAAAATTGTCCTGAGCTTCTTTTAAAACCGATAATCAGGTCACCATAACCGCCGTTGTACAATCTAAATCAAAGAAAAATGCTTATGTAAGAGAACAACGAAAACTTCGTCGACGTAAATTACGAGCAGCTTATGGCGGAAAACCTTGGTGGAAAAGTTTAAATAACCCAATACCCGAACAATTAGAAAATTATGTACCAATCGGCCCTAAAACAAACAAAAAGGAAACATTAGGTTTGGACATTGAAGGAGATGGTCACGGTGGAGTAGGTAGTGTCCATTTATCCGGTTGGTTTGGCCCAGAAATACGTATCCAAACTGTTTATTATGCCCAGGTGAAAAATCATCATATTGTAAATCCATTAACTCTAATTACTGGACTACAGATCAATGATCTAACAAAAGGATTAACTTTGGACGATATTTCAATGCAAGTGGCAGAAATTTCTAGGGGACGACGATTAATAACGCAAGGAAAAGAGGACCTACAAAAATTACAACTGACACCCGCTCGACTAAGAGTTTATAATATACAACATATTGATCTTCAAGAGTTATGGCCAGGTAAACAACCAATTGGTTTGGTATCGATTGACAAATTCTTATTCTACAAATTTCAAAAGCTTCGCCGAGAAGATGATTCACACGTTACTATTGGTCATTCCCCTGAGAGAGATTCACGAGTAACCCTTAAGGCTTACATGGAATTACAAAAATTAACAGACCGCAATATACCAATACCTTCAGCCGAAATTGTACGAGAGATGGTCAAAAACGGACAGAACATTTCACATTGGTTATCGGAATTCCAGGATGGACATCATTAATTACTAACAATTTTCATATTTTAATAGTCAATATTTAATGTAACTAATCCTTAATTAATTATAATAATTCTAGTAAATTGTAAATTAACGTGGACGTTGATCTTTTCATGTACCCCGGACGAAATGCAACAAACTAGTTACAACCAGTTTTAAATGTAACATTACCAGGTACCACCTCTCACATGGTACCTGGTCTATCCTATTGGTTGTTTTGTTGATGATGAAGATGATGATGCAAAATTTGAGAGAGAAGTTTTTCTCCCTCTTCAACAATAAAATGGCCGTTTTTCGGTCATTTTAAGTTATGGAGAAATTTAATAAAAGTAATAATTATTAAATAAACTTGTGAAGTTTCCCATCAAGAGCAGAGATAAATAGATCAAAATCTACAATTTATGTATTAATACAATTAAGAAAACCCAAATTAATCATTCAAAAAAGCTAAGTCAACAAGTTAACAACTTACCTGGATGCCGATAATCAGAGTCTTTGGTAAAGTCAAGGGACTGTTGGGACGAACCGATTTGGCTTATTAACCATTGAAGACGAGCCAATTTATCTTGATTTTCTGTGTCTGTATAAAATTAAGATGAGAAAATAATTCTGGATAAATTTGCAATATTCTTATTTATTGATGATTTCTAATCGTCACTTTTCAATTGCTATTCACTTTGAACGATTGTGATAACAATCAAGTACATTAATTGATACGTTTTATTGAAAAAATATATGTAAGCATTTGTGTCAATAGTTAAATGATGAGGATGATGAGATTTATAAATGATAAAGATGAGAAAAGGTGATTCTTTTGGCTTGATTAGGTTAAATTGTGTCATCACAGAGTAATTATCACATTGAACATATTGATTAATTGGTTGATCCTATTTTAAATTGTCAATTGTCAAGCCTTTCAAATTATTTAGCTTTAGCTTTAGCATCATTAACTAGTGAAGTAATTGTTTCTAAAACAAAATCATAATTAGTGTTTCCTAATTCACGTTCACTTTTCATGAAATCAGGATGTTCCTTAAAATCATCATAACTTTCATCAAATTCATCAGGTAATTTATGTGAATACGATCCCCCTTTAATCATATCAGCCAATTTCTCGGCAATCATGATTATCGGTGCATTTGTGTTTCCAGAAACAATTGACGGCATAATTGACCCATCGGCAACTCTTAAACCCGAAACACCGATAACTTTAAGTGTTGGATCAACAACCGATCTTGGATCGCGAGGATTTGACAAGTACCAACAGGATGGTACAAGGTGGACGTGTATGTACGTGCTACACAGGCCAGATATTCATCAGACCACATTGTATAGATTTCACAGCCTGGAAAAACTGTTTGGAATATATTAGAGCCTAAAGAACGGAAAGCTGGAGCTAAGCCAACGGCGATCGATATCTTCATAGCATCGACCATGGAAACGATATCATCAGGATGAGTTAGATAACGAGGGTTAATTATTGGAGGATCATATGGACTGGATGAGCGGAGGTGAACGTAACCAACTGATTTGGGACGTAACATGACGGGATACATGGAGACAGTATCATAGGGAAGATAAGGCCGATAAACTGAGTCCCACATTTCACGAGTAAAACCTTGTACAATCGAAAAATTCATTTTTCCATAGATGTTAATTGTAAGTTAATGGTAATTTAAGGTCAACTAAAAATCGATATGATATTAACTTATATCGGATGTACCGAGCCCCAGGTTACCAAATATGTGTGACTAGAGACAAAGTTTCTTTGAATGGAATCTAATAACTACACTCAACGACAAAATAAATGCAAATTCAATTGCGTCGATTTTATCAATCAGAATAAACAAAATTGTCTGAAAAAATTATTTGATTCTATTCCTGATCGACTCATTAATGTTATATCGTCAAAAGAAAAAACTTTGAAATATTAATTTAATTGTTATAATTAACTTTGCATTTTTTTTATCACAATTATTAATTTGGTTTTGAAAATTCTGTTGATAATTTTTGTTTCATTCATTTTACTGATTCAGTATTAATTGTGAATAATCATGATTATCTTGTCTATCGATTCTGAAAATATAAATTAATTCGGTTGCGAACTCGCTAATTTAATCGAAAATTACCTTAATTGCATTTATTTTGACGTTGAGTGTAAATTTATTAGATGAATTGATTCATCTCATTGTCATCCAGAGTTGGTCATTCACGATTATCTTTAGACGAAACATCGACTCCGATTGATTAAAAGGTTTTCTTGCAATTGAATAGTCATCATATTGAATTGAATTTACTCTGAGTTCTTGATGGATTGATATTCAATATTCAGTATTCAGTATTTAATTTAGTTGGTTAACTTTGTCTCATCAGTTGTTTCTAAATTAAAATGCGTTTGGTAAAGATATTATCATCGGTTTTCCACATATTATGTTTCGCTGGTTGCTTTTATCAGTTATATCATTTAACTAATTCTTTTCTGAAATTTAAAATTCGCAGTGAATCAGCTTTCTATTCACCTGAACTGATTGACTTTCCAGCGATAGATTTTGCTATTCCAATTCCAAACGTTTTGAACTACGAATTGTTTGAAAGAAAAAATCCAAAGTTATTAGATAAATTATGTCAATCAACAGGAATGAATTCAAATGGAAAATGTAACATTACCAAAATTAAACAAAACAGTAAAGTATTTAGCTCGATAATTTCCAATTCTCTGGATGCTGGAGATCTCCACGGAATATTATTCAATCCTAAAAAAGCTATCAGATTTATTAAAATAGCCACGAAAAAAGATGACCAAGTAGAAAAGTATTGTAATGTTAGTTCATATTTCAATTCTTACATGATCTACATGAGAATATCATGTTTGAACGGTTCTGACCTTTTGAAAGTGCATTCAGATGATTTAAGTAGCTCACTTTTAGCATTCAGTCAGATTGTTGTTCGTTTCAATTTCACATCTTTCGGATTACGATTGAGTGAAACTATTAGTCCAATAGAAGCTGGAATTGCTAAATATCATTACATCGAAATACAATCGGGTGTTATGAATATCCTAAACATTGGTTTCACCAAATACACAATCAAATCATTACCTTCACCATATGAATCTCACTGTCGTGATTACAATAAAGCGTATACACAAGGACATTGTTTAAACCAGAAAACGCTCAACTCGCCGAAACCCAGTCTATTTCATACAACGGTTCAACCTTTCAACTTTTATCCAAATGATATGAAATTTTCTGGATTAGAACCAACATTACCTGAGAGCGATCTTCTTGATTGTAAGGAGAGAGCGAAATATAATGAATGCCGAACAATTGATTATAGAATTGGTATCGATGTTTCTCACGAAAATGCTGGTTACTCAGTTCTTGTTATTCTTCTAGATCCTATTCTACCAGAATCGATTTATGCAGCTTATCCTGAACGAACTCTGAGTGACTATTTAATATTTGTCGGCAGTATTCTTGGTACATGGTTTGGTGTTTCCGTTATAAGTCAATCGATTACTTTCGTTAGAATGATTGAGAAAATTGTCAATTATCGATCAATGTTTGGCAATTATGATCATGTTACATTAGAAACACTTTCAACAGTCCAACCGTCTTATATAGTAATTAAATAGCAATAATGTCTACAGATTTTACTTAATATTAAGTTACGATTACTCAAAGAATTGACAAGTTATGGACGAAATGAATTTACTCCATCAATCATTTAATTGTAGAATGGAAAAAAACATCATCCTGAAACCTAAATTTATCACAATAGAATAACAATCTTATCGTTAAGTTCATAAAGTTGCTTCTCGAATAAAATTTACATGATTAATTATCCTAAAAATGTCTCTATTCAATTGATTATTATTGTATATTTCTTTAGTGTCAAATTCATAATCCACATGAAACAAATTTGACTTTTATGCTTTAGAAATGATTTTCATGAATAACATTTATCTCTGTCCATGCTGAGTAACTTTCAGTAGACACAAAACTAACTGTTTGTCGTTTGATTGTTGTGAATGACAAATTATCATGACGCTGTTGGAGAAAATTTAAAAAGCTCTATGATTAAGATTGACCTTTATGGTTGGTCACCTATTGTCGATAAAACGAATGCGGATTGATTAGCCCAAGAACTTTTATCCATCAGTCTATGATTCAAAGTGAAAGTAATTGTAACTCTAAAAATGATCTCGATTAAATCTGTTCGAATAATAACCGTTATTGTTGGATTATTTTCAATCACAGATTCTATCGTAAGAATTATTAAGTCTTCAAATTCCCCTGGGAAAAAAACTCTCACTTATTATGAACTAATATTCAGGGAGCTCACTAGATCCTCATATGGTTTATTATTTGTTTTCGGATTAAAATGGGAAAAGTTGAAAAAGTTTTACGATCTAATTGGAATGATGAACCTGGAAGATCAATTTCCGAATCGAATGGAAATCAATAAGCAGAAAATCATAAAATTTAACATCTTAAACTTTCTAGTTTATTTCGTGTTCATGATATCTTATATAATATTCAGTTTTCCAGCAAGTAAAAACTACAATGGGTTAAGTTTCATGTTATCTAATTTTTTATTCATACTGATACATTGTATTGGATGTGCAAAGTTGTTCGTAATTTGTGCAATAATAACTTACCTATCATCTTATGTTAAGACTTATTTCGAGATAATTAACTGGAAGATTCTTGTATTCAGTCGACTGATTGTTCGTGACACTAATGGACTCAATCAAATTCGATGTCTTTATAGTAACAATATAAAAGCTTGTAAGGTCGCTGATAAATTCTGCTCGTACATCATAACATTGATATACTTTGATTGTATGTTTTTCAATCCAATTATATTCTATCGATATTTTAATGATGGTGTTCAAATTTCCCCATTGCAAAACTGCTTAAGTTTTAGCTTTAGAATTGCTCATTTAGCTCTGATTACTTATCAACTTGTATCTGTAAACACCGAATCTTATAAATCGATTGAACTATTACATGAAATTGCTTCGAGTGATGATATTCACCAAAAAGAGGTAACTATTAATATAATTTTCTTAATCATTGTTCTGATAGGTAAAAATTTTGATTGACATTTTCTCTTTCTTTACCTTTCAGATTGAACTGTTTCTCATGCGGATGTATAATAAAAATATTGGATTTAGATTCTTTGGATTTATGATTATCGATAAAAACTTTATCGTTTCTCTTTTCTCTGTTTCACTTTCGATAATCCTTTACGCAGAAACAATCATAAGTTTTTAATCCACTTTCAATGTAAACCTCTTAACTTAAATTCTTGTTCACATTAAAATATTGAAATATTAATAGTTAAAAGATATGCAATATATCAATCAATTTTTGAGAAATTTTTTATTCAATGAATTTGGAGTTAACATTCAGTTGATGCCTGAATATGTATTCAGAACGAATATAATTTTTTGTTTTCTGTCTGAAAAAAATTACAATAGTTTATCAATTGGTTTTTTTGTTCTTGCAATTTGCTCGATGGTTTTACAAACTTTATCCGATGAGTCTGATTTTTGAATTCTTTAGATATTAGGGCTACATTTCTTTGGATTATCTCATCAGCCAATAAATTCTCAATAGTTTCGAGGAATTTATCTCCATCGAACTCCCACAGGTTGATTTTGGCCCCTAATCCAAGATCAACAACTCTTTGAGCGTTATCCTGCTGGTCACCGAACACTGGAATTGAAATCAGAGGTTTTGCTGCTGCCAGACCTTCAATAAGTGAATTTGATCCTGCATGAGTGATGAACAGATCGACGTGAGGTAAGATGGCGATTTGATTGACAAACTTATCGCCCCACATATTGTCGTATAATTTGACTTGATCTCCGTTTCTTCCGGTAGAGATTATAAATCGATGTGGTGATTTAGCCAATGGTTCGAGCAATAGATTCAGCAAGTCAGGATTGATAGAAGCGAGAGTTCCCATTGAAAGGTAGATTAGTTTTCCTGGTTTGTTTGCTAATTTCTCAGGAATAATAAAATCACTTGTCTCTGGTAATCGAACCGCTGAATCAAGTCTAATCCATCGAGGTTTAGGTTGACCCAATTCTTTATAGTCCAAAGGCTTGGGGTAAATGTAGATACCCAAATATTTCGGGCTCGCATCTTTCATATACACAATGCCAAAATGCTCGAATATCTCTGCAGCAATCATTGCTATTCTTTCCTTACCTTCCTCCGCCCTAACTGAAAACTCTTTCCAAAGTTTTAGTGGATCATTAATCGAATACCCTGAACCTGTTGGTGGGCCATCGTAAAGATCTAAAGGTGACACTGACATTACGTGAATAGTTGGTACATCGACAAATTCCATCCAAGGAGTTGGAAAAACATAATCACCAATACAAACATCGGGTTTCAATTCATCCACCAATTTAACCATCACTTCACTTTCTTTCACAATTGTTCCGGTTGTGTTATGAAAAAAAGATGCCAACTTATTTATACCTTTTCCAATCTTTAGCTGTTCGAGAGGACTAGATTCACAAGCATCTTCGAACTGTTTATTGAACCTTTCAATGTTAGCAAGGAAAGTATCTTCAACAGGAACAATTTCACTCGAGTAATCAAGTAAATTAACGAACTTCATCCCTTGTTGTTCAATAATTGATTGATTCTTGGGTAGATGAGCAAAGTAAATATCATGTCCGCGTTTCTTTAAAAGTGATCCAATACCAAGACAAGAATTAAAATGACCAGTACTGTAACGTAAATACGAATTGGTTATTGATAAAGTTTTCGATTAGTTTAATTGTTGTACTTACGCTAACATTGCAGTAATAAACACTTTCAATGGACGATCTTGATCACTATTTGGTTGTTGATTGTTTTCCAACATTTTATTTGATTACAAATTCAATTATTTGAACAAAATATCTTTAATTTGATTATCTATTTGAATTCTTGTCAGTGTAGATGAAACTTGTTAATGATAATCAAATGACAATTACTTATTGTATTTATATACTGAAAAGGAAACAATAAATAAGTTGGATTAGATAATCGATAAAGAATTGACAAACTAATTCCGTAGATATATTAAGATAATGCCTTAAATTAAATTTAGAATCAAAATTTCATTATGCCTTGCAAAGAGTGTACCAGTTAATCCTATGTATAAGTAATTAAGATTTTCTCATAAATCAGTCATAAATTTTATTAGCCACTTACATTGAGTACCCAATTTGCAATTGATTAAATATGATGATTTGTATTAGATAAATTCATTCATTAATACAATACTTATGTCAGTAAATGTTACAAAATGTACCGAGATTGTTTATAATACACATTATTGTCCTTATTATGAGTTTAATTTGTTTGGAAATTAGTCAATAGATTATCGCATTATCAGTGATTAACTAATTTCCATTTGAGTTGAAATTTTCAGAGAGATGAGCACATGATTGCTTGTGATTCTTAAGATGGCGAAGCTTGTTAATACATATATTCGTTTGATACATTTAATGCTTGTGAGAGTCAAGTTCGCCCTGCCTGTGACATTTTCTTTCATTCTGGAAAATGGTGGACGAATGTACATTCGTCCATGGCAAATCTACAAAGCCGATTGCAGTTCAAAAGAAAGCTATCAAACTTATAGTTGTTAAGTTGTTTGTTATAAATCGTTAAGATAATTTCGTCTGAACCTTTTAGACCCCGTTGAGAAAACTTTTCATTGCACTTTTCCCCCTGAAAATTGATTACTAGAAATCATAGGAATGGATGTAAAGTGTTTCATAAATATTCACACTCATGTTATTATCTCTATTTGCTAAATAAACGACAGTAGGAATCGTCACACAATATCTTCGCATTGATATTAAGATATTTAATTTAGATTGTATCTTAAATCTTATCTCGTCATTAACATCATGGGAAGAAGGAAAAAGACGCCATGATTAACTGAGCGAGCGATTGTTAAAGAAGTCGAATAAACAATTTAATCGCAATTCTAAATGAATTTGCAATATTCTTATTTATTGATGATTTCTAATCGTTGGCTGATTAGATTGGAAAGTTTAATTTAAGCTTATCATAATCATCCAATCCAATTCAAGAATTGGATTGAGATTAGTTGGTTGCAATTTTCATTGGAAATATCAATCAAGTTTGATTGTTAGCAATTTTATATTATAATTGTTAATACGAAAAAAAATTAATCTATTTGACTTGATCAAGTCCAATTTCGATGCAACAATCCCTTGCTGATTGCTATTCACTTTGAACGATTGTGATAACAATCAAATACATTGATTAATACGTTTTATTGAAAAAAATATATGTGAGCATTTTATTGATGACGATGATGAAGTTTAATGTGTTATTGAATCAATAACAAGTTGTTATTAACAATTTACAGCAGACTGATTGTTGGTACAAAGACGCTAATTCATAATTATATGAGAGGTTGTTTAGTTCTGGCGATTAGCTCAATAGTTTCACAAACTTTAGCCGTTGAGTCTGACTTTTTAATTTCTTCTGATATTTTTGCGACATTTTCATGAATTTTTTCATCGGTCAATACATTTTCAATAGTTTCGAGGAATTTGTCTCCATCAAACTCCCACAGGTTGATTTTAGCTCCTAGTCCAAGATCAACTACGCGTTGTCCATTGTCTAACTGGTCACCAAATACTGGAATCGCAATCAGAGGTTTTGCCGCTACTAGACCTTCAATAAGCGAATTTGATCCTGCATGAGTGATGAACAGATCGACGTGAGGTAAGATGGCGATTTGATTGACAAACTTATCACCCCACATATTGTCGTATAATTTGACTTGATCTCCATTTCTTCCGGTAGAGATTATAAATCGATGTGGTGATTTGGACAAAGGTTCTATTATCATATTCATAGCATCGGGATTCGTAGAGACAACCGTTCCCATTGAGAGATAGATTAGTTTTCCTGGTTTGTTTGCTAATTTCTCAGGAATAATAAAATCACTTGTCTCTCGTGATCGAACCGCTGAATCAAGTCTCATCCATCGAGGTTTAGGTTGACCCAATTCTTTATAGTCCAAAGGCTTGGGGTAAATGTAGATACCCAAATATTGTGGACTATCATACTTTGCATACTTAACACCGAAAGATTCGAATATTTTTGTAAAACCAAGTACCGTTTTTTCCATTTGTTCATTTTTTAGATTTTGAAATTCTCCCCAAAGTTCTCGCTTGTCATTAACTGAATAACCAGAACCTGGCGGTGGACCATCATAAAGCTCTATCGGTGCAATTGACATCACATGGATAGTCGGAACATCAACAACTTGTATCCAAGGAACTGAAGCCCCATAATCAGCAATACAAACATCGGGTTTCAGTTCATTCACTAGTTTGATGATCACTTCACTTTCTTTTATGGTCGTTTCTTGGATCTTGTAGAAAAACTTGAGGTCTTCTTCTTCAGTCTTTTTCGGTTTCATTTGCTCGAGGGCATTAAACTTAAGAGCGTCCTGGAATTGATTCTTGATAAAGCCCATCATAAGATCATCATAAGGAACAATTTCACTTGAGCAATCAAGTAAATTAATGAACTTCATCCCTTGTTGTTCAATAATCGATTGATTCTTGGGTAGATGAGCAAAGTAAATATCATGTCCACGTTTCTTTAAAAGTGACCCGATACCAAGACAAGAATTAAAATGACCAGTACTGTAATGTAAATACGAATTGGTTATCGATAAAGTTTTCGATTAGTTTAATTGTTGTACTTACGCTAACATTGCAGTAATAAAAACTTTCAATGGACGATCTTGATCACTATTTGATTGTTGATTGTTTTCCGACATTTCAAATGTAATAATGTTTCACTTTAAATTTTATAAAACAAAATTTGATAATTGTAGTGAACTAAACTCTTATTACAATCTAACCCAATGTTACAATTAGGTATTTATATTATGGGAACTAATTTAATGACTAGAACACTGATTCTAAATTGAGTCCCCTCCATTGAGATTAATCCATTTCCAAGAAAATATATTATTAATCCTTGTATTACTCTGTGATTAACTTTACTGTAATTATCATTCTCATGAAACTTAATCAACAAGAGTATTAACAATTTCCATGAAGTGAATATTCACTTTGATTAATTGCATTGGTTTTGTTAATCTCTATTCGTGTTCAGATATTTTTCTGATATTTTCCACATCAGAGCCTTAAAAAAACTAACACTCTAGAGGAACTTGGTGGTAAAGTCAAATGAAAAATTGCTCGATCACAATTCTAGATAAATTTTTAATATTCTTATTTATTGGTGATTTCCATTCGTTGGCTGATTAATTGGAAAGTTTCACAAGGTTTGGTTTAGATTGCCATTACATTCTAAATGTAATGCACCAATTGGTTCTTGAATTGGATTAAGATTATTTAGTTGCAGTTTTCATTGGAAATATGAATCAAGTTTGATTGCTATGACGGTTATGTCATGATTGTTGATGAAAATATAATGTATCTTTTTGACTTGATCAAGTTTAGTCTCTGGGAGACAATCAAACTAATGAACTTTTCACTTTGAAAGATTGTGATAATTATCAAGTAGATTAATTTAAACGTTTTATTGAAAAAAATATATGTGAGCGGTTAAGGTAAAATGAACTCCACCGGGATAAATGTGATCTTGAAGATTTTCTCCAACCGGTACATTGGAAATAACAGGAATACCAAGTGTCTCAAGGTGATCTTTTGGACCGATGCCAGAAAGCATTAAAAGTTGAGGTGAATTTACCGAACCAGCGGAAACAATAATCTCACGTCGAGCGTAAACAACATTGGTTATAGTGAATCGGTCAAACTGGACACCAATCGCTCGTTTTTGATTATTGAATAAAATTTTTGTCGCATAAGAAAAAGGTAATATATGTAAATTGGTTCGATCTCGAATGGGCTGAAGAAAAGCTTTAGAGGTTGAACAACGAGCACCTCGACGAATTGTACCCTGAGGTATCGTAAAACCTGATTGAATCGGACCATTGATATCGATGTTCGGGTAACCCAAATGTCGACCAGCCTTCACATCTCTAACTTTTTCTTTAAGGTCTTCGATTTCCTTGTCCTTCTTGTCGATGGAAGTTTTCAAATTTGATTCCGTCGATTGAAACTTTCGAGACCATAGATCTTGATTTTGAGAGAGACATTTGTTCATTTCTTTTTCCTCTTGAACATCATGAAGAACTTTAGTCAATCGAGAACTTAAATTGGTCACTTTCTTTTCTAGAGATTGTTTTTCTTAGCGTAACCGTTGGTTCTCATCTTCGAAATGTTTCTTCTCCTCCAAGAGAAGTTTATTCTCTTCTATCAATTCTTTGCTTGTTTCTTCGGCTTCTTTCTTAATAAGGCGAATCGTCTCCTCGAAAAAATGTCTCTGAGCTTCCAATTGATTGGTCAGCAAGTAAGTGTATTCCAACTGGACCGCATCAATCTTATCCTCGGCTCGATTTTCGTACTCAACGGCCACTGGTTTACCATCTGATTTGTTTTGAACTAATCGGTGAACATAATTATCTCCAGCATAATCCCAGACTAGATTATCCATACTCAAGTCGAGAGCAAAAGTATGTTGAGTCTCCAGATAGTGAGACTTGGCATGACCTCCGACATACCGACCACATCCGATGTGACCACAAATCAAACAGATCCACAAGGATTCTTGTGAATTGCAGGCGAAACAATTGTTTTCAGGAACACTTTCACTCCAGCTGATCCACCTCCGACTAAAGAAAAACACACAATCAAAGATGAAAGAGAAAAATCAAAGCGAAATTAGGGAATGTCCCCTGGTTAACATGTGTTCGTTTGTTGGAATCCAACTGTTGGATTCGGAAAAGTCTATTCGTCCACGAAGTTGTGGACATTTAGCACCCGCGACTATTTATCCACAATTTACAAAACATATAATTAAATTAGCACAATATTTGAAAATTAATTTGTTAGTCCAGCAAATGATCCAAGTCTTTGATAAATTTTTTTTGAGTTCGAACCTCAAAGGGTATTTAATTTTTCTAGGACTTTTTATTAATATTTTTATTAACTATTTGTTTGCTAAACAATTAGAGTATCTTATCAGAGATTAAATGAAAAAAAAGATACAATTAACATTGAAAATTGTTTTTAATCAACTAATCAGCAAATAATTTTTCATTAATCTCTGGTAAGATACTCTAATTGTAAATTCGGTTTAGAATTAGACCTTTAGAATTAAGCTGAATAAAATTCTTCTAATTAATTTTTTACTTTTAATTTTGGGTAAATTTTAGTAATTGATTTCTATTACTAATAAGATGTTAATCTAATTAACAATTGATCAACTAAATTAAGCTAAAATTAAGCTAATTTAGTTAAGAGATTCGATATTGTGATTGAATAGTATCAGATAGGATCAGATACTTCATGTGGACATTTAGGGCTTACCGTTGGATTCGCTCCTTTTCTTTTAATTTAAATTGATTTGTTAATAGCAAATTGCAATATTCTAATTATTTTTTTCGAATAATTGCTTCTAACCTATTCTATTCTCTATTATTCAACTATGAAAGTTGAAGTTATATCCCGAAGTGCTCAAGCTTATGTGAGAGAAACAAACAAGGATGTTCACAAAGGTGAGAATTTGACTTTTATTGGATTTGTTTTTGTTGATTTTTTCTAATCTCTTTTGATTTTTTCTTTTTCTTTTTGTTTTTTATTTAGTTCAAAGGAACCTTGATTCACGTCTTCATCCTCTTCAAATACCACGAGAGTACAAGAGAGCATTGAATGCTGTAAAATTAGATAAAATTTTCGCAAAACCCTTTTTGTTTTCTTTATCTGGTCATATTGATCCAGTTGAATGCCTAATGAAACACCCTAAAAGTTTGTCTACACTAATATCGGGCTCGTTTGATGGTCAAATTAAAGTTTGGGACCTCATGAAGAGGAAATGTGTCCAGTCCATCCAAGCCCATGATGGTCCTGTTTCTGGCTTGTGTATACCACAACACGGGGACTATTTCTTCTCTTGTGGTGACACTAATGTCATAAAAAGATGGCATATAAATGAGGCCAATAAAGATGATCGACCAATCACCTCAATCGTTACAAAAACAAGTATTGTTGGTATCGATCATCACAAGAAAAAACAATATTTAATTACTTGTGGAGAAACGATTGACCTTTGGGATGAATCGCGACCATCGCCTCTTAAAACCTTCAATCCGACTTTTGATTCTTCGTACACAATCAAATTTAACCCAATTGAATGTGACATTTTCGCTTCCACAGCGAATGATCGCAGTATTACCTTATTTGACATTCGCCAAAATGAACATTTGAGAAAAGTGATCATGTCAATGAGAACAAATAATATCGCATGGAATCCAATGGAAGGATATCATTTCACAGCAGCAAATGAAGATCATAAGTAAGTTGATTTAATTTCATCTTTATACTCTGGTTATATTAATAACATTATTTATTTTTCTCTCTTGTAGTTTATACACTTTCGATATGCGGAATCTTTCAGAACCATTGAAAGCCCATGTAGATCACATTTCTGCCGTAATCGATGTTGATTATTCACCAACAGGAAGAGAATTGGTCAGCGGAAGTTATGACAAAACTTTAAGAATCTTTCGAGAAGGTGCTGTCCACAGTCGAGAAGTTTACCATACGAAACGTATGCAAAGGTTGACCAGCGTTTTATGGACATTAGACTCCAAATATATTTTATGTGGATCGGATGAGATGGACATTCGAGCCTGGAAGGCAAATGCCTCTGAGAAACTTGGTCCTAAAGGTTCAAAAGAAGAAATCAACTTCAGATACCAAGCGAAACTTAAAGAAGCATATGCTCATCATCCAGAAATTAAAAGGATCGCTCGACATCGTCACCTACCTAAACATGTTTACCATGGAAAGAAAGAGAAAGACGCCATGGTTAACGCCATAAAGAGGAAAGAGGGCAACAAGAGAGCTCATTCAAAACCAGGAACAGTTCCAATAACGAAAATAACTGAACGAGCGATTGTTATCGAAAGTGAATAAACAGATGATTCACAATTCTAGATGGATTCTAATTTGCAATATTAATGATCTTTAATCATTGCTTTTCAATTGCTATTTACTATTTATACTATTTATTGGTAATAATCAAGTACATTAATTGATACGTTTTATTGAAAAAATATGTGAGCATTTGTGTCAATAGTTAAATGATAAAGATGAGAAAAGGTGATTCTTTTGGCTTGATTAGGTTAAATTGTGTCATCACAGTGTAATTATCACATTGAACATATTGCTTGATTGGTTGATCCCATTTCTGATTGTTTCAAGCCTTTCAAATTATTTAGCTTTAGCTTTAGCATCATTAACTAGTGAAGTAATTGTTTCTAAAACAAAATCATAATTAGTGTTTCCTAATTCACGTTCACTTTTCATGAAATCAGGATGTTCCTTAAAATCATCATAACTTTCATCAAATTCATCAGGTAATTTATGTGAATAAGATTCCCCTTTAATCATATCAGCCAATTTCTCGGCAATCATGATTATCGGTGCATTTGTGTTTCCAGAAACAATTGACGGCATAATTGACCCATCGGCAACTCTTAAACCAGAAACACCGATAACTTTAAGTGTTGGATCAACAACCGATCTTGGATCGCGAGGATTTCCCATTCGACAAGTACCAACAGGATGGTACAAGGTGGAAGTGTATGTACGTGCTACACAGGCCAGATATTCATCTGACCACATTGTATAGATTTCACAGCCTGGAAAAACTGTTTGGAATATATTAGAGCCTAAAGAACGGAAAGCTGGAGCTAAGCCAACGGCAATCGATATTTTCATAGCATCGACCATGGAAACGATATCATCGGGATGAGTTAGATAACGAGGGTTAATTATTGGAGGATCATATGGACTGGATGAGCGGAGGTGAACGTAACCAACTGATTTGGGACGTAACATGACGGGATACATGGAGACAGTATCATAGGGAAGGTAAGGCCGATAAACTGAGTCCCACATTTCACGAGTAAAACCTTGAACTCGACGGAAAACTGTACCATCATCGGAAGTAGGGCTTCCAGAGATCATGTGAATCTCAAAGTCAGGCCAATCATCGGAAAAGTTTGTATATTTCGTCTTAATGAAACCAAGACCTTCAACTCCACCCAAGGCTGTGAATGGACCTTTACCATGGACAAAATAATCGATAATGTTTTCATATTTCCTATTCTTCGTTGAAGTAACGATTCTTGGGCTGTTATGGTAAAATGAACTCCACCGGGATAAATGTGATCTTGAAGATTTTCTCCAACCGGTACATTGGAAATAACGGGAATACCAAGTGTCTCAAGGTGATCTTTTGGACCGATGCCAGAAAGCATTAAAAGTTGAGGTGAATTTACCGAACCAGCGGAAACAATAATCTCACGTCGAGCGTAAACAACATTGGTTATAGTGAATCGGTCAAACTGGACACCAATCGCTCGTTTTTGATTATTGAATAAAATTTTTGTCGCATAAGAAAAAGGTAATATATGTAAATTGGTTCGATCTCGAATGGGCTGAAGAAAAGCTTTAGAGGTTGAACAACGAGCACCTCGACGAATTGTACCCTGAGGTATCGTAAAACCTGATTGAATCGGACCATTGATATCGATGTTCGGGTAACCCAAATGTCGACCAGCCTTCGGGAAAGCATAAGCCAAAGCTGAAGGGTCAGGGGGCTGAGAGACTGTCAAATAACCACCAGTTGAATGATGACCTGATGGAAAATAATCGAAAATAAAATCCCAATTAAAATACAAACTCATATGCGACTAATATGAAAACGAATAAAAATTTCAAATCATATGACCAATAATTTGATTTCTAATTGTACTCAAATTGAATGGACACTCGAACCGAATCGAATGACTTGTCTAACGATTATACCAAATTCAATGTTGATACTGAAAAGTTGATCGGCATTGAACCACTTAAAGGTTATTTCAGATAAGCACTTTAAATGCAGAACAATTAAATTTAATTCACAAGTTAGGGTAATCACTCTCTTCGTTAATTGTTGTGTTCATGAAACTAATTGTAATACAAAAATAGATCCTTGTACCAATTTGTTCAGTTATCAAACTGAAATTTTGTTCAATTCTATCAGTAATTGATTATCACCGGAATCGATAATCATAATCGTAATTAGGTATCTTTCAGACTCTCGAGTATGATAATGATTGTTGATTTAAATTGTTTCTTTGGTTTGATTATTAAGGAAACAAAGACGGTAGTTCGAGTGTCGAAAGTAACAAAAAGGAAAAGGAAAGTTAACGGAAAGAGGCGAATAATTAAATGAGGAAAATACTGTAATCGAGAATATAAATCCTTGTCGAGAGAGAGAGAGAGAGAGAGAGAGAAAGTGAGCAAAATATTCGGAAGTTAGAATAATTTTTGACCTTCGAATTTGTTTGGTAATGAGTATTAATGGTTTGCATTGGCGAATCGAGAATTACTTTTTTTCTTACTACTATTCACACGCATTCATTTAATTGTTAAACATTTGGTTCACTTTGAGTAATTCATTGATTGTTTACTGGACCATAATGGTCACTTTATCAAGTTTCTCTTTTTCTTTTCTCTGTTGAGCAAAATATTACTGACCATTTGCTAGAAAATCGGGATCCTGATTATCTTCGGACTTTAGAAAATAAGGGAAAACCTCTTTCCATGACCAGCCAGTCGCACCCATACTGGCCCATAGATCGTAGTCTCTTTTATTTCCACGAACATATAACATGTAGTTTAGTACCGATGAACCTCCCAAAACTCTGCCTCGAGGCCATCGACTTCGTCTGTTGATTAACCCATAGCACGAAGCTTCTTGTGGTTCACTTTGAAAAGCCCAATCAATGGGGGTCATTTGAAGAGTCGCAGCGGCCACTGGAATATCGCTGAGAACACTTTCTGATCCACCGGCTTCTAATAGAAGAACTTTCCATGATGGATTCTCAGAGAGACGATTAGCTAAAACAGCTCCAGCTGATCCACCTCCGACTAAAGAAAAACACACAATCAAAGATGAAAGAGAAAAATCAATCAATTTTCACAAAGCAAAATCAATAATTAAAAGTAATTAGTTGTATCATAATCCTTAGTAGCTCAAATAATCATCAAATTAACTGATTTAATCACAATCAGCGGTTTAATAATGTAACAATAAGAGTTACATCATTGACTCAAGATTAACGAATCGACTGGAATTGTTATCAACTGATTAAGTAAAAGAAATGAAGACGAAATAAATTCTGATTGATTTTTTATCTTCAATTGTAATTTGAATTAATCTTACCAATTATGTAATCATATTCTGGATCCCATTTATTACGATTAATTGATAAATTATCATCGGCTATTCTTAACCAGAATAGCGTTAGAATTGGAATTAGAGAAGGTAAAATGGGTGAAGCCCCGATCATTACGATATTAATATCACCATTTGTTTAACAATAACCTTTGGCTTTTTCTTTGGCGAGTCACAATTAAGTTTAAATAATCACAATTAGCCCAGTAAATTCACTTGAACATCATTCACTAATCACAATTAATCACAATGTTGTTTGAATGGTGAAACTAAAATATAAAGTTGTAAGTTTGTTGAGTTGAAACAAAATAATGAAGATGAAACAATGATCACAATTCACAATAGAAAATATTATGAGAAGAGTTTCGTTGATTAACTAATTGCTGATTGTCTTGTCCCGTTGTCTTTTTAGGCCCACTCGCTGTTCGGTTGCTACCAAGACCGACATCGACCAAATCAAAGTCTTATTGTTGACTGATTAACTTTCTCCCAAGTATTACAATCAACTCGACCTTAGATTCAAGCAGAAATCAACGGAGCCTGACTTGTATTTCCAGCAAAGAGACAAACTGAATTAAAATTGATAGAATAATTTTTTTTTTCTTTTAAAACTTTTTCCTTTTTCTTGCAAAAGGAGAGTAACAATCAAGGGGAATGATTAAAAACAACACAACAATCAAGAAATGAAACGTTTTCAGTTAGTAATCAGTGAGAGAAAAAAAAATGATTTCTAATTGTTAGCCGACCAACAAAAATTGTTAATTGTTTGTCAACCAACATTTAAAACTCAAATGCAAACAAAATTAAATCAACGATTCACTATAAGAATCAAATCCAATTCCAATTGCCTATTTGGTTTACTGTTAATTCTGGTTAATTGTTGACACCCTTTTCCACCTCCACTGTTTTACCTCCTCATCCTTAACCACCACCACCACCACCATGAGTCCACCTCCCACTCCCACTCTCATGTCCAAAATTAGCTTAATTATCATTAATTATCACCAGAACGAAGTGATAAAATAAGTTAATCAATTTGTCATTGACAATTTAATCTTTCACCTCATCTTAATTGTTTATTTCCATGTTTCTTATCATTGACAAACAATCAAATTACATAGTCGGTTACATGATAATACACAACAATTAAGTTAATTGTTTCAACTGATCAAAATCAATCAAAAAATGTTAGACATTTTTACAATTAATCTTAAATCAATTTGTTCATCACAGAGTTGCAACAATTTAATTTAACCTGGAACAATTAATTTCTGTTAATTTTTAAGATGAGTTATGATTAATTATTATAACCTAAATAACTACACTGTTAATTGTTTGACAATCAGTTCAATGTTAACAGTTTAAAGTTAATTGTTTACGATTAACTGATTTGATTAAGATAATCATTTTCTAATCATCAGACAAATTGATTTGTTAACGGATGGAAGACAGGAAATGTTGAACATGATTAAAAATTAATAATAACAATTTATTAATCGCGGAAATTATGATTTCTTAACAATAACAATTAACTTTTGACTTAAAGGTAAAAGATTTAATGATTAATTGTGATTAAACTTTAATCGAGAAGGTTAAACATTTTACAGAAAAATAGAAAATGATCTTGAAAATTTTAAATTGTTCACAATTAAATCGACCTGTTTAATATTTACATGTATTTTCCGTAACTGAATTAAATCATTTTTCATCACAATTAACATGAATAAGTATAATAAATATATCACTTTAATCACAATAATTTAATTCTTAATCGCTTCAAGTAGTTTGATAATGAAGAAACAAAATTGCAACAATTGAGTGAATATCTTTTCCTGTATTAACAATTAATTCATTGGTGTAAAGTTAATCTACTTGAATAATTAATTGATAATCAATTGAACAATTAAAACAAACATATTATCAAATAAATGATATTACAATTAGAAAACTTTTTCAACTCTTTTCATTAATGAATATCATCCATATCAATTGATTGTTAATTGTTATCAAAGATTATGTAAAAAATTAGATAATATCCTTGATCATTAAGTTTTCAAAGAAATTCTGTCAACAATTAATTGATTATGATTGATTGTTGATGAGATTTTGTTTCATTTTCTTTAAATATTATTATTATTGATAAATCAACGAGGTTTCCAAGGTTAATCCATTTAATTGTCAACAACAATTAAGATTTTCCTCTCTTGGTTGTTCTTTAAGGTTTCATTTTGACCATTCCGAAGGTGTTGATGTTAATTGTCCGTTGTCCATGGTTAAAGTAAATAGGAAAATTTATTCAACAATTACTAGATTATTGTCTTCGGTCCGATTAACAATTAATACACGATGAAAAAGTGTAAATCTGTTGATGGTTAACCTTGGATAACAATCAACGCTTGGTGAGATTCAACCGGATGAACAACATGAACACCTTATTGTTTGTCTCTTTGCCCATATCTTATATATGCTTTAGCTGTTCATCATTTCGAGTTGGTTGCGAAAAAAAGTTCTACTCCGTATTTCTTGGACATGACCTCGAAAATATTACAGTTTGATATATGTATCATGTTTCTGATCCAATGATACAGGAAAACTGGACAAACGATTAATTTGTTTATCTATCGGGAAAGAGTCTTAGTTCAAGTTGATGAGAATTTGTGAGAGAGAGAGAGAGAGAGAGAGATTCAAGGTTCGATCCATCGAGTTGATACGTTTTCGAGCTTTCATCAGGCTTTGGTTCCATTTCTTTGGGTTTAATTGTTTTTTAGTTTGTTTGTTGATTTCGCTACTGTTTGATTAGCCAGTGGAACAATAGATTAGTTCAATCGAAATTGATTAAAATGAATTAAAAGTTAATCTTTGATTGTTTAACGGTCGCTTAGAGTGAGGGAAATTCTCAAGGTTCAGATCAATTAACCATCAGAATTTTTCAAATAAAAATCAGTCGCCAATGTGGAAGTCGATATTAATGAGGTAACCATCCATATAGCACAATCATGTAATTCCCGAAGTTGATTTTCTTTTGTATTTGCCTTCACAATTTAAATACGAACATCTTTGTGTTTGTATTTTCTTTTCCTTTGAGAAAATTTATCCATTCATTATCTCTTTGTTGGGAACCATTTCCTTTTAGCTTTTTGGAGTAACCATTTCAAGGAGACTAATTAACCAAATTGGTTACACTTAATGAATCTCGGTAATCATGTAACCTAAATTTTACAATGGAGACAATGTCAATGGACTAATTAAGACTAGAAATTTGAATATTACATCAATGGATTAACATGAAAATAACATTGACGTTTAGGATTGGGTAAAACAATCAGACATTTTGAGATGATAATCAGTGGATAATATAAATAATAATATTTGCATAACTAATGTGAAAATTTATAAATATTCATTTCATCATGGATCAGTCAACAGGGAGAAAAATTGTTTTATCGTTTCCGTAATTAACTATGGACGGTAAACAATTGTACTTTATGAATATTAATTGTTCAACTAGATGGGATAATTATTGTCAATAAGTTTCGTCCATGGGTTTCAATATGTATCTCACTGGAACAGAACGATCTCTTTTCTTTCAAAAACAACAATCAATTCTTGATGGTTTGTTTGGGGAAATAGATCAACAGGAATCGCGGTGATCGGATTAAAATGGCCTCCAAGAATACCATCACCAGGTCTAAATGATTTACATAAGTGGATAAAATTTGAAATGGCGTTCATACTATCAGGTTTACTTGATAAATAAATGATCTGTTTGATTGCATCAAATTCCCGAAGTAAACTGAGAACCGAGTTTGTTAGTCCACCACGTTTTGGTTTAGTAATGATGATTATATTGTTTTCCATTGACAATTTTTTAAACAGGTCAGGTAGAATGTCCAAAATGGAACCGGCGAAAAATTGACAGTTTGAGACACCATTTTTGTGAGCATTTCGATAACAAGTTTCAATTGAATCGATTGATGGATCAATCCCGAAGACCTTTTTCACCTTAGAAGCGATCGGGATAATTGCTGTTCCTATTTCACAGTTTAGATCAATAATCACAGTATTTTGATCGATGTTTAACTTGTCGAATATACTCTGATAGAGAACCTCAGTTCCAAGAGTGTTGACCTGGAAAAATGAATCGGGTGAAATATCAAAATCATGGCCCAAAATTGTCTCATTTATCGTTTTGTCACCAAGTAGTAATTGGAAAGGAGCTGAAGCATTGGTGCATCTTTGAGCTGGACAAGACTAGAAAATAAGAATAAGAATTAATATTCTTTCAATAGAATAAGATTGTGAAATTTTACCTGAAAATATAATGACTTTAGAGATAATTGTTCAGAATTTCGACTGAAAAAATCTGACAACTTTAACTTTTCCTCGTTGAGCTCATTTGGTGTAAGTACTTTTGGATGTAAGACACATATCGCCATCAAATCGTCTTTCTGATTACTTCGAACAATAAAACGTCTCCAATTACCGTTTGGTTTATCAAAATGAGTACAAATTCCTAATGAAGATTCAGATTGAATGTATTGTTGAAACTTTTTCGCTGCCATTTTGTGAATCTCTTTAGTGGTTACCGTTAAATCGGGCTCGATACAATAAGTTGTCTTTTCACTTAGAGAACTGGACAAGAATCCAACAATCGGTGTTTGACCATCACTACCAGGCCAGATTGAGAATTCATCTTTATTACGATATCCACTAATGACAGGAGATCTTTTAATTTCTTCCAATAAACATGGTAATCCACCAGGATGAATTTTTATATCTCTGTTAAGTTTGGAGATTTTTTTACCAACTACCGAGAGAACACTTTTGGCAATCAATTGTTTCTTAGCCAATTGAGCTTCATAATCTAAATTAACCATAGGTGAAATTTGATTATTTATCAAGTGAAGAGCATAATTAATTTGATTTGGAGCAGGTAAACGACGAGAAACCATAATTGTAATCTAAATCAAAATCAAAACAAACAAAAACACTGAACACAAATTCACCAGAATTTATTACAGAGAAAACAAAAATAATCCTCCTTACAAGAACAGACCAGTTGAAGGACAACTATAATTTCCAATAGAGGTTAAATTACATTAGTGAATTAAAAAAGATCAAGAAAACAAAGACAATTAAATCAATTAATTAAATTGAAATTCTAAAGATGGAAAAAAAAATCAAAAAAAAGGAAAAACATGCTTGTGAATTTAGTTGTTTCGGTGATCAAGAGATGGCAGCAAAAGCGAATTTAATGTTCGTCCGTTGTCATGACAACTGATGAGTAAACTTCTAGTCTCCTTGATTATTGTTAAGGTAAATACGCCTAATTGTTATGGTTTTTAATTAACCTTAATCTTTGTTAATTAACCTTTTCCTTATTTAATTAACTGTGATAGAAATAATTTTGACCTTTCTCTCTTCATTTTAGTTGTTTTAGTATATTCCATTTGATTGTGAGTTTGTCTGCAGAAGGAAAATCAAAATGGGCTCTCTCTTACGTAGTGAAGAAATGAGCTTATGTCAACTGTTTCTCCAGTCTGAGGCCGCTTATTTGTGTGTTGCCGAACTCGGTGAATTAGGCTTAGTGCAATTCCGTGATGTAAGTATATTTGTTGATGATGGAATTACAGTTTTCATCATCCTGCCTGTTATTTTTTCTCTCTCTCTCTCTCTTTGCGAATTTAGCTTAATCCGGATGTCAATGCATTCCAAAGGAAATTTGTCCTTGAAGTTCGTCGTTGTGATGAAATGGAAAGAAAATTAAGTTAGTAGAAATTATTTTGTTCTTTTTATTTATTCTTCCATCAATTTCACCTATACTTTTAACTCCTTCTGTTTTCTATTTTCTTCTTCAGGAGTCCTTGAGAAGGAAATTAAAAAAGATGAGATTCCAATGTCAGAGATGGGAGATATACCTGATGCTCCTTTACCAAGAGAAATGATTGAACTGGAAACAACATTTGAGAAACTTGAAAATGAACTGAAAGAGGTCAATTCTAATGCTGAAGCATTGAAAAAAACTTATCTTGAGTTAACTGAATTGAAACATATTCTCCAAAAGACCCAACAATTCTTTGATGAGGTATCTTATTTGCTTAACCTTCTTTATCAAAGCTTCTCCTTTCGTTCCCTATCTATCAACAAGTCTCCTCTCTCTCTCTCTCTCCTCTCTATCTTTCCAATAACTACTTTTCCATAAACTCTTCAGACCATTCAACTTCTCCTCCCCACCATACCTTATCTGTGCATTTTCCCCACAGAAACATTGAGTTCTAATCATGTTTTAAACAATACCCCGCTTTATTTGCATCTAACCAATCAATCTTAACAACAATAACCTTGCAACCTTATTTGTTGCTTCAACACTGATTGTTTACTTGGGTATCATTAATAGCTTTGAATGACATAGAAAACCAAGATTGAAAAAAAAAATTCAATCTACCAGTTAGTTTATCATCTTGGTTACCGATGCTAATCAATTTAATTCTCTAATAATTATAATCTTACAGTAATGTATGCCTTGTATCCTTTGGGTCGATAATCTAGATTCTAATACTATTTACATATTAATTGCTTTTGGGTCATTAGTTTAACACTTAAGAAGATTAATTTTTTTTTGTTATAATGAATAACCGTTGTTTGATTTTCTCCTCATGGAACTAACTCTCTCCATATATTACTAATACCCTGAATTTAACTCTCTCCCTGTCTCTTTACCTTTGCACTAAAAACATTTCCTAATTGCTTCCAATTTAAAATTATGATCACCTTGTTCCTTTCCTATTCCATTTGTTTCCTAATCAATCATACTTTATGTGAAAGCTCATCGTGAAAGTGAAATAATTACAGATTCAAGAATCAGGAATGGGTGACGAATCGACTCAACTACTCGGAGAGGAGGGATTACGTGCTGGTGGACAAGCACATATGAAGTTAGGGTAGGTTTCTAAGACCCATGGTATCGACTTCGGCATACACAGTCTATATAATATTTACACTTAAATCTAAATAATATCAAGCATTTTCTTTATATGGTTACCCATCTATCGTGCTCATTATCTGTTATCAAATCGCTTCCATTTTTTTTTCTGTTGCTTTATACTCATACAAATCTATCACAAACATATACATAATATCGCTTTTAATTTAGATCAAGAAAAAAAACAAACAAACGTTTTACTAACTTAGTTTAATCGCTTCTCCATCAATCACTAATCACCATTTATGATTTTCGCTTCTTCTTTTATTCGCAATTATTTGTTATTCTTTTTTGTTTCAACAATTTTAAATTTTGATTTGCATATTATTTAATCTTATTAACCTCAGCAAACATCTGATAAAGGTGTAAGGAGTCGCAGGTTTAGTGAGGTTCAACATTTTAACGCTGCGATGAACACTTATTTGAGCTCTGAAGGATCTCCAGAGCGTTTTGAAACCGATTTGGGGTATGAAACAATGAAACGATGATTTATTCAACATATTTAGCCCAGAATATATTTTAATTTTATTCTCTTTGTTTTTATTGATAAAACTGATGATATATATATATAATAGTTATGGTTTAATAATTCATCTTATCATATGATAATTTTTAATATATGTAAAATTTTATTATTCTATTATTTTAGATTCTTAGCTGGTGTTATTTTACGAGAACGTCTTCCCGCTTTTGAACGGATGTTATGGAGAGTCTGTTTGGGTAATGTCTTCCTACGTCAGGCCGAAATTGAGAAACCATTGGAAGATCCAGTTAGCGGTGATCAAGTTTACAAATCGGTGTTTATTATTTTCTTCCAAGGAGAACAACTCAAGACTCGAGTTAAAAAGATTTGCGAAGGGTTTAGGGCCACTCTTTATCCATGTCCTGAAACTGCTGTTGATCGGCGAGAAATGATCGCTGGTGTTGTTACTCGAATTGATGAATTGAACACTGTTCTAAAGCAAACAACTGAACATCGTCATCGTGTTTTGGTTGCTGCCGCTAAACATATCAAGAATTGGATTGTTAAGGTTAAAAAAGTTAAAGCGATTTATTTAACGTTGAATATGTTCAATTTGGATCTTACTAGAAAATGTTTAATCGCTGAATGTTGGTGTCCGGTTGATGATATGGAACGAATTCATATTGCACTTAGAAGAGGAACAGAGAGAAGTGGATCATCTGTCCCATCGATTTTAAACAGGATGGACACTAAAGAAATACCACCGACTTTTAATCGTACTAACAAATTTACCCAAGGTTTTCAGAATTTAGTTAATGCCTATGGAGTTGCTGCTTATCGAGAAATTAATCCAGCTCCATTTACCATAATTACTTTTCCATTTCTGTTCGCTGTTATGTTCGGTGATGCAGGTCATGGCCTATTGATGGCACTTTTTGCTCTCTGGTTGGTTCTCAAGGAACAATCATTAGCGGAGAAAGTTAAATCCAATGAAATATACAAAACTTTCTTCGGTGGAAGATATTTAATCCTGTTGATGGGCATTTTCTCGATATACACTGGCCTTATTTATAACGATGTCTTTTCAAAATCTTTGAATCTTTTCGGCTCATCTTGGAAAGCATCTCCGGTACCTTCATCAGGCTTATATCCGGAGACTTTCATGTTGGATCCCCAGAAACAATTCACTGGAAAACCTTATTGGTTTGGAATGGATCCTGTATGGGCAGTTTCAGGGAATAAGATTCTATTCCTAAATTCATACAAGATGAAACTTTCCGTTCTTCTTGGAGTTGGTCAAATGTTATTCGGTATAGTCCTTAGTTTCTACAACCATCGTTACTTTGGTGACCGAATCAATATTTTGTGCGAATTTATCCCTCAAGTGATCTTCCTGTTATCCATCTTTGGTTATCTTAATCTTCTTATTTTAGCTAAATGGATTACATATGATTCCACACAATCAGGTTGTGCACCATCAATTTTGATTACATTAATCAACATGTTCCTTTACAAATATCAAGACACTCCTTGTTCATTAGCACCAATGTACTCGGGGCAACAATTTATCCAAACGGTACTTTTATTCACCGCTCTTGCCTGCATTCCATGGATGTTGATATTCAAGCCTTACTTTTTAAAGAAACGTCATGATGCCCAGAAATTGGCATCAATTCATTCATCTAACACCGAGAACCACAATGGCTATAATGCTGAAGGCGATGTTGCCGTTTCTATTGAAACAGATGCACCAAGTGCAGGAGGAGGAGGAGGTCACGGTCATGACGGTGAATTTGACCTGGGAGATGTAATCATCCATCAAATCATCCACACCATTGAATCTTGTCTTGGATCAATTTCCCACACCGCTTCTTACCTTCGTCTTTGGGCTTTAAGTTTAGCTCACGCTCAACTTAGTGAAGTCTTATGGACTATGGTCTTGCAAATTGGTCTATCGGGCGCTAAGATCACCGGAGGTTTTACCATGTTCGTTATTTTCTGTTTCTGGGGATGTCTAACAGTCGCCGTACTTTTGCTCATGGAGGGTTTAAGTGCTTTTCTTCATGCTCTCAGATTACATTGGGTTGAATTTCAAAGTAAATTCTACAAAGGTGATGGGTACATTTTCCAACCATTTTCTTTCGAAGTGATTCTCAATAATGAAAGTGAAGAAGTCGCCTAATCATAATTGCTCACCTTCCATCGACTATAATCACATTTTGTAACTAAGAATTCTGGTCTCAAATTTTTTCGATTGTTTTACTTACCCTTGTCACACCTTGTTCATTATTCAATCTCAATTATTATTCTTGTAACTATTTATTCAGGAGATTTAAAATGAAATCAAGAGTCTTTATTGTATTTTCATCGTATGCGAATCAAGAATTAAAAAAATGATCTTTTGATTATCTTAGGTCATGTCTTGATTTTTTCTTCTTTATTTTAATTGTAATCAAACAATCAGAGGAATCTGATTGTTGTGTTTATGAGATAAAATCAAATTACAATTTTTATTGTCAAAAAATTGATTGTTGATTGTTGATCTCAATTTGCTCAACATTTTGATTGTTTACAAAAAAAAAGCAAGATTGTGTATCGATTATATTAAAGTTTTAACTTTGATCACAATCAGAGTTAATGATAAATTAAACAAGTTAAATTTGGCGATACTTTTCATTGATTCCATGGTAAACTTAATTGCTACCATTGGTTAGGACAAAAAAAAGATTAGGATAAAATTAGAAGACTTGTTGATTATCGTAGTTATTATATTATGATTTAAGTTAAAAAAGATCTCTCAGTCCAATGACTCTGCCAATCATTTGTATTCTAGATAATCCATTCGGATGCAATTTAGTTGGATATTGATTATTGGTTGATGTTGATGAATAGACGATCCGTTCGTTAATTGGTTGTAATTGCCTTGTAACTGAACCCATTTCAATGGTGCATTTTTTATCCTGAAATAAGTTCCTGAACTTGGTAATCTTAAATTGTCAATCATAAATCAAGAAACAATAAGTTAATTTAGTTAAATATAAAATAATAATAAAAAAATGAAACAATTAACACTTCAACGTAAAAAATGGAAATGTCAAAATATCGTTAATTGTTTATTCTGTCAATTTGTTAACTAACCTGTTTTCTTCCGATGTTTTGTGAATTTTTGAATACGATCCAGGTAACCGATTCAGAACAGGGTGGAGTTGTTAGAGACCCTTGATATTGATAATATTTATCAATACTTGATGGTAATAATTGCAATAAATTTAATCGAGCTCCAAGTTCATATCTTAATCCACCACATCTGATTTTTTCCAATTTCCTAACAATATCTTCAAGCGCTGGATTGTTACTTTCAGAAATCTAAGGGAAATAAATCAAACAAAGATAAATTAATGAGCTGTAATAACAATTAGTTGATGAAAAGATTCAATAATTTAAATCTCATTACATCGATAAAGTTAAAAAAACAATAGAACACATAATATCAATATTTTTAATTGTTCTTTTTTTCCCATCAATCATTTCCTTGAGAGAAAATTATTATTTTCTTTGAAGAAATTGAATTAAGAGAGAAGCTTAGATTGAGAACGGAAATTATCAACATGCACAATTAGCTACAGAATTGGTTTTGTCTTTAGCGATAAAAAGAAGGCGCAAAAAGAAAACTAGGAGTCAAAATTTTTCTCTCTAATGGAAACTCAATCATCCATCATTTAGGTAACTATAAAGCGAATGATAAATTAACCATGGGCAATAATTCATCCCGTCAGAATAATCAAGTATCCATGTAACAAGGTTTCTAACGATTGCTTATTGATCATGTTTGAATTCATGTTAATTATCATCTTTGCTCACCTTAAATAATGTAGCAATAACTACAAGTCCATCGGGTTTGGTTGAAGCTTCATTGAAATCTCCATATTTCTTATTGTAATGAACAAAATGCATCTGAAATCAAGGAAAAATTAGTCAAGTTAAATGATCAATTTTAATCAATTTCTATCTTCTTACCTCCATATCGTAACGTTCATTGTTAATTGCATGTTCCGATCCTTGTTCAGGCTCAGTTCCCCAGTGGAAATGTAATTGAGTAAAGTGATAAGCTTCATTGTCCACAAAAGGTCCAGTAACTATTGGACCTTTGCCTTCAGAAATTGCGAGTTCAACTGAAAAGAGGAGAAAAATTTGAGTTAAATGGACAAAAAAACATTTAATTTACTCAATAAATTAAAACTATTGGTTGTAAACTTGAAATTGGGTACTAATTGCATTAGATTTCGGTAATTGTGCAAAACTTTTAAGATCAATTGTCACCTTAGTAACATTTAACTCACTAACTTAGGTGAGCAATTATTCAGATTCAGAGTTTCAGAAAGATTGATACACCAACTGTTGTATGTACATGATAATTTGATGTTAATTGCAATCCTTTTCAATGACTGAACTGATAATTAACTGAGAGTCAGTTTTGTTTCAACAGTTCAGTAAAAATAATTGATAAATCAATTTGATAATTAAAATAAGTCAGTTCATTCAAATTATTCCGATTTACTGAAAGTAAACCACAACATTCAGATCACTTTGCAGGTTTTAATTAGATAACAACACTGATAACCTCAAATCTTAATTGCTGGAACATAATTGCAATCAAAGATAAGAAACACAAACATGGGACTTGAGAAAATTGACCATTACAATAATGACCACAACAAAACAATACGACAAACTATTAATAGTACAAGAAGAAATTAACTGACTAAAGTCAATCAAAGTGGAGCAGTGTAATTTGGAAATTCACAACAAGTTGATCACAATTAAATCTGTTGAAACACCAACACAATTAGACACAAATTAAAGGTAAATAAAAGTGATTTAACTAACCCGATCTTCCAGTGTTTTTAATTTCCATAGAACGACAACAAACTTCATAACTTGGATCAAAAAATATCTCGGTAACATCATCTTTCTCAGTTAATTGCTCATCAATATTGATTGGAGATTGATTGTTACCACCACAGTCTGGGTATAATCTTTCCCATTCCTCTTGTTCTGGTTAATTAAAGAATTAATTTCACAAACAAAAACAATTAAAGTAAAGAAAAAGGAATCAATTAATTAGAAAGAAAAATAAACTCACCTTGATAAGTCCAATTGGCGATGTCCACTTAATCATAGAGAAGAATAAAAAATCAACCAATAGGAGAGAAGAGAATAAAAAAGAAATAGAAAAGAACAAAAAATCTTAGACTTTCACATGTTTACACTTGTTAATCATCGGTTTTTCTTCTGGTTAATTATTTTCTTTTTCTGTTAATTCAATTAACTTAATTGTTTAAATTGTATCTTACTTGCTGGTTTTCGTTCCTTGTCCTCGTAATCAATATGATCGGGATCTAATTTGTTGTCTTCTTCATCTACAGTCTCTTCAATCCGATCGTAACCTGTTCCTATGTAATCAACATCATCGCCGCCATTACTGTAACGTTTTAATTCATACAAGGGATAAAGTGGATTAGTCAAGATGTATGGTTGTTCATCAGGAAATTGTCCCATCACACCAATAATCTGATGTAACCATGATGCCGAAAGACTGATGATTGTGAACAGGAAGATTAGTTTTAAATTGCTGGTCCACATTGATTGAAGATTTTGAGATTATATTAGGAAATGGTGAAAACACAAAACCCGATGAGTATTGAACAGAACACAAAGAGAATTATTTTTTTTTTCTTTCCTTCGTTCACTTGTTGATTATTTACTCAAAATAATCAACATTTAAAGATGAATGGTAATGGTGATGATTGTTTAATTGTTTCTCCTTATATTGTTATAAGATGTAGAATAGAATAATTTGAATAATATTCTTATTCTTGTGATCAGGTAATTCCTTTTGTTTTCACTTTGTTAAACAATTTTCATTCTTTCAGACTAATATATTTGTTTAACTCTTCCTTTTTTTTCTTTTGTTTTACTCTTCCCATTTAGATACTTGATATATTAATTGTTACTATTGTTGGATATTACAAATCACTACTGGTGATGGAGACTGAATCGAATCCGATGAAATTTTCTTAGTTGAGTAAATTGTCACGCGATTTTTTTCTGGCCTAATCAGCGAGATAAACGTTTAACTTACACCGAAAAGTAACCAAGAAGCGAAACGATGTAAAGATTAGAAAAGAGGAAAGGTAAGTGAAAGTGTTTAGATTTTATATGAGAAAATGATAAACATGAAAAGTGAGAGTAAAATGATGAAGGAGAAGGAGGTTTACAAGATGAAGGTGGGAATATGATTTATGCAAGTTGTGAAATGGTTTGAATTGTTGATAATTACTGACAAATTGTCATCAATTGTTACCTTTCTCCATTTCTCCCTCTCTAAATGGTTTGACACTTATCATCTGTCATTACCTTTAACTACAATCAATATCTCTTATAATTGAATTAACTAATTGGCAAGATGTTTTTCTTTCAGAGCAACAATCAATTCTTTGGTTAAACCTTGATCTTGAATCTAACAGGATTTCCTGACCCATGGAAACAGAGGAAATTGAATTTTACATATTAATTAATTCCCTGGAACCCTTTCACTGATGATTAAGTTTTTGCTGATCCTGAAGATAATTTATCTGCAATTAACTTACTGGGATAATTTTTTCCATAATTCCAACAATGTATTCCAATAATTAGTTGGAAATTAATTATAATTAATGGTAAGATTGACAATCAAATTTTGCAATAGACTTGAGTATAAACTTTTATTAATTATTCTATTATTAAACTAATATAATAGTTTAATTTAATTTAATCTCTTTTTATTGTTGCAGGTTGTGAAATTTTAATTCGTTGATTGTTATCTTTAGATTTCATTTGATCATTAGTTGAATTTTAAATGGAATCGAACAAATTTCTCCTTGGAAACTTCATCATTTTTTAGGTTAATTAGGCCTAACACTCGGATATCAAAATTTAAATAACTAATTGTCCATCTTGATAATAAGTTAAACGGATTTCTTACAATTAAGTGATTATCAGAAAAAAAGTGATTATTGATGCATTGAAATTTGAATAATTTAATTATTATCATATTCCTATTGTAAGTTATTATTATTAATCCATTCTTGTAGTGGTAATAACAATTAAGAGTATTAATTGTTAATCGTTTACATTTAACCAACTGTAGTTTTTGTCCCTGACCTCATACAATCTCAATAAATTAGGCGATAATCTTTTGATAATGTTAATCATTTTGGATCATGATGAACCAGATAAACGTGACAATCCAGTAAACCTTTTCAATCGGATTTAATTGCAGCACTTTCCATCAACCTCAGGTCATAAAGTAAACCCGTTGAGGTGATAACCTGTCACTTGATAACTAATACATATCTCTTGAATTGCTATTCAACTTTAATTCATATTTAGTGAAAAACAATTAAAACCATTTTTGTTGAAAACAAAAGTAATTGCAATTACTTTTATTCCTGTTAATTGTACTTTGGCAATGACATTGAAACGAGTGGATTGAACATATCATCATGAAAAAAAAAATCAACAAAGATTTAGATCATGTGCCACCAGATCGATCAAAACTAATTCACAATCAAATTGGAAAGAAAAGTTTATTTGATATTGACAACACTTAATTGTCTTTAATTATCTTCACTTATTAGAAGATAAAAAGTTGTTTCATGATTAAAAGTGATCGGCCAAGAAATCAGTTGACCAAAATTGATGAATTATCTCAACAAGTTGATTGTTTTCAACATTGGTTTAAATTTTTGTTGACCAAATCTATGGTCTGTCACCAAAAGAGATAAACTAATTGCGATTAATTGATCGTGAGATGCATAAATCCACACTTAACTGACATATCAAAATGAAATAAGACACTGATCGATGAATGGAACTAAGTTTTGCTCGAACCAACTTCAAATGTTCAAATTTCGAAGCTTCGACTTGAGCGTTTCTATGGTACTGCCATCTCTTTTTACAGAAACAAACTCCTTCAAAAGAGAGACTTTCATTAGAGATTCAATCAAAGACTAGCAAAACACAATCTATCCAATCTAATACTTAATTGTAATCTCTTCTAATTTTATTACTCACCAGTATCAGTTTCTTATTCTTTTACTCTAGATTAATCTGTAGTAAGAATTGAGCTTATTAACTTTATGGGTTATGAAAATTTATCAATAAACACATTCGACTTGTAGAGCGGGAGATTCGAAAGGGTTAAAATTAATCAACAATTGATTATATATTCAAAGCACTTTTATTGATGATTTTTATTATATTAGAAGATAAAGAATTTCATTATTAAATTGATACTATTTTGTGTTATCTTGTTTTTGAATTATTTTTGACACAATTAATCAGATAATGGTGTTTTTGTTTTTGATGACCATCTTGAGGTCATTTCCGTCGGTAAGTGATGAAAATTTTAATATGATTAACATGGCTAATATTGAAATTATTTGGAAAAATTTATTAATTTTGTTATTAAATTGGGTAGATTAGTTACCTATTCTGATGGATTAAACTGATTTCTGTCAATACCTCACCATTGAAAATTTACCTTTTTTTCATAAAAGGTGAAAATCGGTTCTCATGGGATTTAGTGTTAAATGATTAGTTAATTAAGTTTTAGTTCTTTATAATCAATAAGCAAAATTAATCAAATTTTTCCTAAATAATTTCAATATTAGACCACATGTTAATCATATTAAAATTTTCAGGTCACTTTACCATAAAAAGTGACCTCAAAGAGAGTCATCAAAAACTTAGTAAAACAACAACAAAAATTTAATTGTAATTAATTGATTCTCCAGTATCAATAAATTATATCATTCGAAAGATAAATTTAAGCTTAAAATGGTATTAATTTATAATAGGAAATTTTTATCTCTAATACCTAATACTTAAAAAATCATCAATGGAAAATTAAAATTTTGAGGATACCTAATAATATTTACAATATGTAGATTAAATAATGCTAGATAATTATGATAAAAACGATTAGGAATTGAATTGAAAAATTATTTTCACTTTTAGATCTGATGAGATTTAATTTAAAATTAAACTCAAAAAAGTTCCAAATTTATTGCTGGTATAGCTATGGGTCATTTGGACCGTCAACTTGAAAGGCATTATCATAGTCAAAAAAATTTATTCGTGTTAGTCTGGTGAGAATCTCAAGTTCATCATCATCGAACTGTTTCGCTCTAGCCTGGATAAAACTATTTATATCAGTAAGAATAGTTCTTGGTTCATTCTTACATGTATATTTGGGACATTGTGAAGCAGGAATACATCGGTTTTCGTTATTAAATTTATAGCCATCCTTACATTCATAACCAGGAATACATTGATCTAAATTACAAGATTGGAGATTTGCTTTGCAAGTATTACAGGAATTTACACAATCAGTATAAGTCTTTTCGTCATCAAAAATTAAGATACCAAAAAGGATAATCAACACAATTAGTTGATTTTTGGTGATTTCCTTCTGTCCGATTGGGACTAAAACAGGTTGGTCATTCCTAACATGGCCATCACCGCAGTGACCATCAGGTTGGCATGAATCCTTAGCATCACAAACTGTATTGTTTAGAGCGTCAGCAATATTTTCCAGACCCTCAGTGTCCATATTGAAACCATTATCACAAGTGACGAAAGCCAGAAAAGTAATTGAAACAATTAATAAATATTGCATGATGACAAGTTTAATATTGGTTATTAACACTAGTAAAAATACAAAAGTAAATTCAAAGTTAAAGCTACATTTGATTATTGTTGATGAAAAGAGATTCAACACTAATCTACTTTCAAATCAAATTAACAATCAGGAAACGGAATTAGTTCATCAGTAGTTTGACTTGTTTGATATTCTCTCTGAAACAGTTGAACAATTAGATTATTTAGTTCGGATAATACATAGTATTATTCAATGTGACTCAAACTATCTGATTACTCAGTTTATTTAAATAATATAATATTTAAATTGATTCTGTTAGTCTAACTTTTATCAATTACGATTGTTTTGTGTTAATTACTTTATTTTATGTTGGATTGATTTTCGTGCAAACCTTTCGTGTCATAATAATAATGCCAACGGTTAACGAAAGATAAACTTTTCATAAATCAACAATTCTTGAGAATCACCATTCCATGATTCAACTGGTTCTATATATTAATACCCATGATGTATCATTGGTTGATACCAAGCTTTCTTTGTGGTAACGGTAAATGGCCTACACTTTTCACAACTTTTGACTTTTTGTTGTGTTTACAAAGATCTAATTTTGTTTAGCTTGATTAATCAATCGTAAGTTAATCGTTTGTCTTTTCTCTTAATAATAGTTTGATATCTATTGTAGCTTCTAAATAGTTGACCAAATATTGAGAATCCGAACCACACTCCAAGTATACTGCCCACGAATATAAGATATTCAGGTAATGAGAGAATCGGTACCGTTAGAAGATAAATTATCGGTTCAATTGGAGCTTGGAGAAATATGAACGATACTGATGACGATATTCCCTCATTGTAAATCTTAACGTTGGTCGAATATTTTGTTCTAGAGCATTCGGGGGACATCAACTTTCGATTACATCGCTCAACTGCTGAGTTACATAGATCACTTACTTTCGGTGATAAAAAATTTGAATGAATGAACTTAAGATCCTCTGGATATTGATTCCATTGAGCTACAACATCAGTCCAGAGAAATGGTTCCGATTCATTCAATGAAAATTCAACAAGACAGTTTTGTAGCATTTCAGTCTTTTCGTAGTGTAAACATCGAGTCTCATATGGATATTCAAGTGATCTCGAAATAGTCTTTGTAAAACGAATGTAAGAAACTTGATGTTTTTTCGACTCATAAATAGCATATTCGGTTATATCATTTTGAGGTGGGACATGTCTATCAGATATACGAATGCCGAACAATGAGTTTAGTTTATGCTTCAATATAGCGAAATATTTAACACCGACTGAGACAGAATTCGTACTCAAGGTAAGTGGTTGAGTTCCATTTCGACATGAAAGTCTAACAAGTAAAGCGAGGCCCATGAAATATCGATGAACTTTACAAACTTTCTTTTCGATCAGATCATAATGACTACTAAGCTTAAAGCTTAATATTTTCTCTGATGGATCATGAGTCAATTCTTGAACATCTTTTATCGTTATGAAAGGTAATAATGATGTCGAAGCGGCCACAGGAAAATTAACTAATGAGCTCTCACAGTTTGTCCCATTTGAATATTTACCAGAACTTTGCTTGAAAAATTGTGAGCAAACAATAGACATTTCAATTGGATGTCTGATCATCAATTCAGTTATATTAATAAACGATATGATTGGTAACATGAAATCGATATCAGGTAACTCGAAGGTAGTTCTATATTCATAAGCGACATCGTTTCGAACTTTAAATTTAACAAATTGTGCCGTAAGATGGTAGAGTTGACATAAACAACCGATCACACAAAACAATCTAATGATTAACGGAATTAATTGTCTCATAATTCAGTGAACTGATTCAATAAATCAAAGTGAATGTCACAATTTGAACACTTTCCATGTTGTGATAAGATCTCAGTTTTCAATTCGGTTATCGATTCAGTAGCTGATCTAGTCTTTAATTATTTAATTGAATTCATTAATCTAATTACAATAAAATGTCATTAATATACAGATTAAAATTCAACTAGAAAATATTGAAATAACATTTTCCATGAAATTTATTATTGAATTTCATTCAATTTTACACCGATTAACTATTCATTATTAAAGAGTCAAGTTAATGAAACTTTTTGTTTTGTAAGCAGAAATTTCCGAATCTGAACAATCAGCTTAATTATTAATAAATTATGAGAACTTGGAAGTGATATTTTTCTTCATATCGATTGCTAATTAATAAAATTGTATTCCAGTGGATTATTCATCGGTAATATTATTATATGGAATTACCGAATCTATTGATTGAGTTTATGGATGTCGATGGATTAAATTGATTCTTATTAATATCCATTCTTTGGAGATATGGATTAGTGGTGAAAATTTTGGTTCTCATATTTTTCCTTCGTAACTGCGAATTGACTTTAGTTTTGTTTAGATTTTTTCATTTTGGATAAACTTGAGAACATCGAACTGAGTTCCTTTCTGCAATCGATCGGAGATCGAGAATCCAAACCAAAGTCCTAAAACACTTCCAATATAAATAACATACTCGTCCAATCTAAATGCAGGATAAGCGGTAATATTGAGAATAGGATCGATTGCAGGAGCGATTTCAATAGTTTTCGGATAATTTTCATCGTTCGTGTTAAACTCATATAACTTAACTGGTTGATACGATACTGAGACACATTCGGGTGCTGTTATTGCGCTGTAACAATCATTCACAACACGGCTAATATACTCGTCACTATGTGAATGTGCGAATCCATAATGACCTGGGAGACGATTCCATTCATTTTGAACCAGACTATTCAGATAGGGTGGATTAGAATTCGTTGTATTCTTGGTGATACACTCTTGTAGAGCCTTGTTTTTATCGTAACGAAGACAATTGGTTTCATATGGTGATTCGAGGGATTGAACAATAGTTTTCACGTATTTTGTACAAGTAAAATCCAAATTAGTATCTATGTAAGAGAATTTGGAAACTATTGGGTACTTATCATGACTACTGAAACGAATACTTATATCAAAATCCAATTGAATGCTTATGAAAATATTATCGTATGTGATGAAATCGTTTTGTGGCTTTGCTACTATTTGTGTTCCATTAACACAAGAGATTCGCCATATAACTGAGTCAAAGCTGAAATAATATTTATTTTCACATGGTATATTCTTATAATCAGAGTGTTTAATAAAAAGGTCAGATTTGAATTTCTCACCAAGATGATCGAGACTTTGTTCAACATCTTTCACTGTAAGAAAGTCCCAAGTTTTATCGTCATAAGAGGCAAGATCGCAAATATTATCGATTGTAGCATTTTCATCTTTATACGAGTCGAATAACGATGAAAATATATCGTGTTTGTGATTGATACACAGTTGAGTTCTGTTAATTGCAGACTCCAAAGGTATTCTTATGTCGATAGCTGGTAGTTCAGTAGTTTTCGGATATTCGAAAGTTGCATCACTTCGAACTTTATAACTAAGATATTCACTTGTTAACATGTAGATTTGGATGGTACAACCGAGTAAACATACAAATTGGGACATAATAGATCGCTTAATAACGATCTTCATAGTTATAATAGAGGAAGTAGACCATCAATAGTAATAAAAATTATGAACATCGCAAATTATTATCCAATAGTTAAATTTCTGCAATAAATGTAATAAAATCTATAATAATATACTAATGTATTAATTTGAAATATTGAGAAAAATGAGCCAAATATTTAATAATTAATCAAGGAAAGTGAAAAGAAAGATAAATTATTGATAATTTTCCAGCATTTGAAACTTGTCATTAATTGTTATTGTTGTGAGGAACTTCAATGTAAATTTTTTCTCTTTTTCTTTCTTTTAAGAATATTAGTAATACACTCCAAGTCACAATAATTGCAATTAAGGTAATTTTCGATAAAATTTCGCAAAAATTAGATGAGATTATCATGTTAATTTGTTGATTATTCGTAAATGAATACATGTATCAAATGTGAAATGAAATGAAAATAGCGAAGGGTATTGTCTGAAATTTTCAAACGCAAATTAATGATTGAGACAAAAACATATCAACGTTAACCATTTCAATTGAATTGCTATTCCAAAGTATTTCCTTCTGCCGAAATAACATTAATGACCTGATCGGGAACTGATTTTTTCAAGCAGTTTTGTATATTCCAATTGATAAAATCGAGTGATTGTAACTATTAATTCAAAGATATTTAGATTTAATTGAGTTTGCATTTATTTTGACGTTGAGCGTATTAACATTATGGTTTATGAGAGTTTATCAATAAACATAGTCAATCAATTGCTACTATCACCATAAAATTAAACTACAGCCTTGTTCTTATTGTTGAGTTTTATTTATTTATTTGAATTACAACCATTGTGTTGGGTACATGTAGGTATTGGGAAAATAGAGTGATTTTAAGGATTAAAAGAAATTTATTCGAGTCGTATTACTAAGATATTTAAGTTGACGATCATCGAGATTTTTCCTTGCATTAGCCTGAATAAAATCATTTATACCATCAAAAATATTTCTTTCATTCTGAGAGCTGTTCCCTGGACACTGTGATTCATGAATACATTGGTATTTGTTATTCAATCTATAACCTGGCTTACAGTCATAACCACGACTACAGACAAGAAAATTACAAGAACTACCTATTGCTTTGCAAGTATTACAGGGATTTACGCAATCAGTATAAATCTTATTATCAAAAGTTAAGATGCCGAAAAGGATAATCAACACAATTAGTTGATCTTTGTTGATTTCTTTCTCTCCGATTGGGACTACAACAGGTTGGTCTTCGTCATTCCTATCATGGTAATCGTTAGAGTCACCATTAGGTGTAAATGTCTCCTCAAATACATCGGGAACGTCCTCTATATCGTCGCCTGGATCATCAATGTCCATTTTGAAACCATTATCACAAATTACGAAAGCCAGAAGAGTAATTGAAACAATTAATAAATATTTCATGATGACAAGTTTAATATTGGTTATTAACACTAGTAAAAATACAAAGGTGAATTCAAAGTTAAACCTTCATTTGATTATTGTTGATGAAAAAAGATTCAACACTAATCTACTTTTAAATAAAATTAACAATCAGGAAACGGAATTAGTTCATCATGAGTTTGACTTGTTTGATATTCTCTCTGAAACAGTTGAACAATTAGATTATTTAGTTCGGATAATACATAGTATTATTCAATGTGACTCAAACTATCTGATTACTCAGTGTATTTAAATAGTAGTATATTTAAATTCTAATTTACTGACACTTTTGTCAATTAAGATTGTTTTTTCTCTCAATCGAAATAGAATTTAAATAACTCTGAATAATTACCATAGTATCGTTATAATATTCCAAGAACATTCGTGATTATCATTTTCGCAGTAGCCGTAAGAACCTTGGACATAAACATTTAAACATGTTCGAGTTTAACTGTTTTCATTTATACGAAAAGTTAGCATTTGAAGTATCTTCTTTGATCGAGTATCACAATCGACTAATTGTCAGGAAAATGATGACAATTTACAATTTCTTATTTACTCATAGATGATCTGATATGCTAAATATCATGAATTCTGAGTTTTAATATTTAGAAAAAATTGATTCTCTTCAATATGGTTAAGCTTGAGATTAATAAATCTCATCTTTTGATGATGGGCATGGGCCTTAATCAAGAAACTAAACTTGATTGACTTTTGATTAACAATCAACTTGAACGGAAAGTTTGAGCTTTTCAAACAATATTGATCAGTTGATTGTGTTGTGATAAGATCTCAGTTTTCAATTCGGTTATCGATTCAGTAGGTGATCTAGTCTTTAATTATTTAATTGAATTCATTCAATTTACACCGATTAACTATTCATTATTGAAGAGTCAAGTTAATGAAACTTTTTGTTTTGCAGAAATTTCCAAATCTCAACAACAGGTTGGTCTGGGTCATTCCTATCATGGTCATCGTTAGAGTCACCATCAGGTGTGAATGTCTCCTCATAATGTTTGAGAACGTCAACTATATCGTCCCTTGGACCATCAATGTCCCTTTCAAAATCATTATCACAAGTTACGAAAGCCAGAAGAGTAATTGAAACAATTAATAAATATTTCATGATGACAAGTTTAATATCGGTTAATAACACTAGTAAAAATATGAAGTTTTATTTGATTATTGTTGACGAAAAAAAACATCCAACACTAATTCACTTTTAAATACAATTAACAATCAGGAAAAGGAATTAGTTCCTCATGAGATTGACTTGTTTGATATTGCCTCTGGAACAGTTGAACAATTAGATTATTTAGTTCGGATACTACATACAAGTTTGTAATATTATTCAATGTGACTCAAAATATCTGATTACTCAGTGTATTTAAATTCTGTTTTACTGACACTTTTGTCAATTATAATTGTTTTTTCTCTCAGTTGAAACAGAATTTAAATAACTCTCAATAATTACAATAATATCGTTATAATATTCCAAGAACATTCGTGATTATCATTTTCGCAGTAGCCGTAAGAACCTTGGACATAAACATTTAAACATGTTCGAGTTTAACTGTTTTCATTGATGCGAATAGTTAGCATTTGAAGAATCTTCTTTAATCGAGTATCACACTCGACTAATTGTCAGGAAAATGATGACAATTTACAATTTCTTATTTACTCATAGATGATCTGATATGCTAAATATCATGAATTCTGAGTTTTAATATTTAGAAAAAATTGATTCTCTTCAATTTGGTTAAGCTTGAGATTAATAAATCTCATCTTTTGATGATGGGCATGGGCCTTAATCAAGAAACTAAACTTGATTGACTTTTGATTAACAATCAACTTGAACGGAAAGTTTGAGCTTTTCAAACAATATTGATCAGTTGATTGTGTTTTCTTACCTTTTAAACAATTAAGCTTTTGTTTACATCAAAGTGAAAACAAACCCATTTGAAGGAAAGTTGTGATTCATGTTGATTAACATGGATTTGATTGGAATTAACAACAATAATAACAATTAAAAACAACAGTTAGGTCATGATTTAGGTTTAGCCAAATCTTTTCAAGTCTTTTCGTGGGAGTTAAACAGGCAAACCCGTCTGAGAACATCATTAAATTTAATTGTGAACAATCAATCTGATGGACAAGTTATAATACAATTTATCAGAATAATAATAATACAATCAAACCTTTTGATTAATCTGTTTCAAGGGTTCAGTTCAATTGACAATGGACAATTAACTTTAATTGTAACATCAACTTTGAATACTTACCCAACACTTGGTTCATTGTGAATCAGTTAATTACTTACGTTCAGATCAAATTAAGATTAAATCAATTTTCTGTTTCATCCTCCAATTCAAGGTACTTAATTTATCATCATCATCATTGTTTTCATGTTAATTGTTTCATTTTTTTCAAAGTAATTTATTTGTTCAACAATTTATGAACTTACTCATCTAATATTATGATCGTATCTATCTTGAGGTCTTGATTGTTGTAACAATTAACCTTTAAAACGATGACAATAACATGTTTAGTAGTAACAATTAAATGATTACTGTGTAGGATGTTTAATTCATTTGGATATTAATTGTTTTGGATATTTAACTTTTCTTTTTATAATCAACAATTAATGACTACTAATTACTAACCAATTGTCTACCTGAATTAATATTAACCTTGAAACTGATTACAATTAACTTGTAGCCTTATTTTTTATGTCTACAATTAACTAATCATAATTATTATGTAAGATTATTAATTTTTTGACTGATTACTTTGGTGTTGAATTAATTGTTTGGAGGTAAAAGTGTTAACAAAAAAAGTTATTTACAGTTTATTGATTATAACAAATCAGTTTCTTAAAAGGAAGAATTGAAAAATTAAAATTAACAACATTGATTCCAATCAGCAATTAGTTAGGAGGCGAAAATCAGCTGATTACAATTCAACATTTAACTGCCTTTTGTTGATTAATTGTAGTTGATTCGTGTTGAATGACACAAATGATGAGATTGTCCAAGGTTTGATTGACAATCTATTGAGTGATTAACTGATTAAATAGTCTTAATTGTTGATTTAACCATAGAATGGGTTAAATGCTGGACCAAGTGACGGCTGGACAATCACTGTGGTTGTTGTTGTTATTGTTGTTGGATAGACACTCGTTGATGTTACTGTCCGATATTTGGTACTGAAAGCGTTGTATTTAAGTGTGTATATTTTAGATTGGGTTGAGGTGGCATCGGTAACTGTGGTGTAGGTTTGGGTCACTGTTGATGCAGGTTGAAGTTGTTGACCGAAACGACCAAAGCCAATTGATTAAGATTGTTGGCTAATTGTTGTTGTTGTTGTTGTTGTTGATTCTGTGATTGAGCTTGTTGTAATTGTTGCTGGGATTGAATTTGATTGCCAAGGAAATTATTTCCATTGAAATTTGGTTGTTGTAAGTTATAGCCTTGGAATCCACCGAGATTACCTGGTAAATTGGGTTGAATTGATGCTCGAAGTGAGGGTGCATTGGGTTGAAGTAATTGGGTGGCCAAAAGTCGTTGGAATTGTTGAGCTTGAGCAGCGGCTAAAACGTCAACTGTATTTAATCGAGGTGTAACTTGGGTTGTGATTGTTGTAATTGTTTTATCGATTGTACTTGCTGGTTCGGTGATGGTTCGAGTTCGAGTTGCACGACCATCATAGAAACTTAGTACCTTTGTGTTGTAAACAGTTTCGTGAAGAACCACCTCAGTTGGTCGGGTGATTGTCTCAAATTGTGGCTGTTCAGCTGGACTACCTTGTTGATTGTGATAATTTTGTAGTCCAAGGTACATGGCGGCCAAAGCGGGATTACGAAGAGCAGCTCCGACAACCAATGGATTGGAAAGATCGAAAGGTGGAAGATTTTGACCTAAAGGTGAATTGAAACCATTGTGACCAAAACCAGTTGATGGGTCAAGAGTCTGAAGACCAGCGGCTGATAAAAGAGCCGAAGTTGGTTTACCATTGATCAGTGCACCATCTTCGGGTGATGTGGTCAATTCAATTGAACCTCCAAGTAGTGAAGGTTCAAGATTCTGTTCAGATGTTTCCAGTCCATCAAGTATGGCGGTTCCATTGGCCATCTCAGCGGAAGCGGTAGCCAATAGAGCGGTATCGCCATAGGGCATTGTCTTATATGCGGTGATCAATTTACGAATGACAAAACTTTCGGTAATCGTATGATTTGCCGAAGTGTTTCCATCATAAACGGGTACAACTGTCGTTCGGGAAACATGTTCTGTCAATGAGTAAGTGCGACTTAAAACAATAGGCGGTGTCTCTAAACCGCCAGTAACTTCATTACCATTTAGTGGAAGAGGTTCAGTTGGTTCAATTAATCCACCTCGTCACCTGCGAGTAACAATCGAGCTGAAGGATGAATTGGTTCATCAACTGTTGTCACTAAAGTAACGGTATCAACCTTGATTGGTGACCCATTAAGATGATGTGTAATCTCACTAGTAACCGTTTGAACTTGTTTCAAAGGAGCGGAAGGTTCAATTTGTCCGTTAAGTGGATCTGATTGTTCAAATAATGGAGGTGCATATGATCCTGGTGAACTCTCAGAATTACCATGATCAGAACCAAGAGTTTGTGGGTCTCCATCACGAATTTCATCCTCACGGGAAGCGGGTGAAGGTGTAACGGGTTTCTCTTCATTTCTTGATCGACGATAACTACTATTTAGATTAGTACCTGATCGACCGATACCAAGACGTTTTTGGAACCGTTGGTTGATCTCTTTTGCTGCTTCCTCTTCAACTTTTTCCCTAGAAGTTGGTGAGGCTGTTGACGAAACGGCAACTTTGACCTTAAAACGATTCAAACGAACCTTAAGAATAGTGTAAAGGGATTTAAAGGGATTAGTAATTTGACAATTTCGATTGTGAAGATTTTTGTTTTCTAAGTGATTAATGGTTAACTTACTCGAGGATTTTCACGAGGAGTGTAGGTTAATCTTGTTCCGATTCGAGTAGGTCGACGAAGTTTCGTTTTTTCTTTCGCTTGATCTGCAGAATTATTTCCGCCTTCCGATTCCTTGGATTCTTCTTCTTTTTTGGATGATTCAAGTACTTTGATTGGCCTTACACGTCGAACATTTTCACTTGTTGATTCAGATTTAAGTGAATCTCGACTTGGCCGTGGTCGAGCTGATGGGATGATACTTATTGGTGCCGAAGGTTTTATCTCTGCAGGTCGAGTTGACGATGGTACTGGTTCATAAGCACTTTTAATATGTGATGTGCTCTTTAAAATTTGAGCATATTTACCATTGATATAAGTTCCAATTACTTTAGTCTCATGGATTGTCGTGGCTCCGTTAAGAATTACAGTTCCACCCAGAACTGTTACCAATCCTGTCGGATATTGAGCACCAGAATTAACTGGTTCACTTGATAATCCATCATTTGAAGAGGGTGATAAAGGTACGGGTGTTGGCTTTGATTCAAATGAACGTGAGCTCGCTGATGTTGGCCTAATATCAATTTGAGGTGGACTTGAGGTGACAGCGATTTTACTTGGTTGAATGGAGGGTGGACTGGTTGAGCTTATTTCCGAGGGTCCACCAGTGGCTGCAGCAGAAGCGGGTGTGAATACAATTACCGTTCCGTCAACGGTGGTACGGAAATTGAGGAAACCTCGAACCGTTACCGTGGGCAAAGCGGTTTCCGATGTGAAACTTTCAGCGACCAAGGCAGCGGCCACGGGAAGCACTGGATGGACATAAGCTGATTGGCAGTTTACTAATTGTCAAGAAAAGAGAAGAAAAAAAAATCAATTAATTGGAATCAATTATTATTTAAATTGCTATTAAAAGTATCAAATCATCACCGTCATGAAAAAGTTAATTCAATGACAATCAAGTGTCATTAACAATCAATCATCAATTTTGTTTGTTTCTGCCTGGAGCACTTTACACTTTAAATTGTTATTAATAAATTGCGAATCAATTATCATCAAGACAATTATCACTTATTACAAAATCATTAATCATTTTCATAACCAATACAATCGATACAATCAATAGTTTGATAATTTGGCTGTTTTTTAATTGTTTTGATTTGTTTACATGATTAATCAAACCAATTGAAATGTTTCAAGTGAAAGTGATTTAACCTTATCATTAAGTTATCAATAATAAACGATAAACAATTTGAATGCAATTAAGAAAAGTTTTTTTTTCTTCAACAGCAACAAGTTAATTGTGACTATTGATTACATTAAGATTTGATTGATCGTGACCATTTAGTAAATAACATTTAAATTTTCATCTTATATTCAATGAACACTTTTTACCAAAACTAAATTAACATTAATCACGACACACAATTGGACACAATCAGTGTATACAAAATAATAATAACAATACAAATCGGAACACCGAATGAGTTAGTTAAACAATGATAACAATTTAACAATTTGATTGTGATTTAAGATGATAATTAATATGTTTTGGCTTCCAGGTCAATGGAAAAATTGATTTGATTGTCCAAGATAATAAACTAAATTATCAGGGTATTGATTGTGTCATTTAATCATCACCAAGAAAACTATAATCAGGGAAACATAATATGAAATGATAATTGTTATCATTAAATTTCAATCAATTGATTTGTTAATATTGATCAGAAACTCAACTATTAATTTGATTCAACTACATGATGAAGGTAAGAGTTAATTGTTTCCAATATATATATTGATTGAGTTGCCCAAAAGTGTTAGGAGATTAACAGTATTGCCGTTGATTGTTGATAACAATTTAATCAAGAGTTGACCCAATTCCGTTGGCTATCTAATTATTATCATCTAAATGATTAAATAATTTCATCATGATGATTAATCTGAAAGTTTGTTTTTCTCACCAAAACTTTTTTCTTAATTGTAACTCTTAATGATAATAATTACAAGGAACCTCAAACTTTAATATTTGATTGTAATCAATTGTGAGAAATTTACTAAATTTACTTGGTGATTAAATTTAACTATTCTTTGATCACTGTAGTAATTAAAAGATTAGGGAAAACACAATTAAATCAATGAAAAATGAACTTGACTTCAAGACGATTCAATTGTATTACTAAGAACAACAATTAACAAGTCAATTGTTGTCGTTGATGCAATTAAAGTAATTATTTGATTAAATCAACTCAAGGGTCCAAACAATCAACAGATTATGATTATAACAATTAAAATGGTAAACAGATAAACAATTAGACTGGCTGGAAATAATTAATCAACAATTTATGATGATCGGTGATTTTGATTAACTTTAATCAGCTTATGGCATCCAAATAATTAAAAAAATCAATAGTCAAAAGCTAAAGTAATTAAGATTAGGGATTAAACAATTTCTTAATACAATCAATTATATTGATATAATTTTATTGTTAATCTACTGATTAACTGGTTGTTGTTTATTCAATTAAGTGTGTAATCTGATTAACCGGGTTAGATAATTAAAATTGGATTAAATTGATTAAAATCTAATCCTGATTCTCGTGTGAAAAGTTAAAGGCTTAAGGCTTTTCTTACAATTAAAACTTTGATTTATTTAATAGCTGAGAAATTAACTGATTGTGATTAAGAAACAATCAGTCAACAATTCACAGGATTTAAATCACTTTACAAGTTGATTAGACTGGATTATAATTTTAAATTGCTAATCCACAATGATCATTGAAATTTATCTCTAATTGTTCATTGAATCATTTGATGATTTAATAATGAATTAAATAACAATTTAATTACCTAATGATTGAGAGTGAGAGAGAGAGAGTAGTTTCCTTAATTGTGATTAACTTTATGGATTTAATATCCTTCAATTGATATTAAATTGATTCGGAAGGAAGAGTTAATTATTTTCCTTTATGATTAATGAATTGATTATCCTTCAGATGACATTGATTCATCTTGATTAAGATAATAGTAATCACCACAAAGATTAATAATGTTTAAATTAACTGTAATTAATTCACATGAGGTTCAATATAAATTGATTAACATCACAAGGTAAACAATTAACTGCGATGAGTTAGAAATTGATTTGATTGAAAACAATTAAAAAATTGTGAATAGATTTCAGTTTATAATCAATGTACAATTTATGTGTATAAATCATTAATCACTACCCCAAAGGACAATTTAATTCATTTATTGACAATTAAAAATAAATTAACATGAAACATTGATGATGATTAACTTTTTAAATTGTTACAATCAAGGATTAAATTGTAATAAAAGGTGATTATGAGTCTTACTGGTTTTAAGGAAAAGTTGGCAATTATTTAGGCCAAGATGAAGATTAACAATTTAATTTGATTGTTACATCTTAATCATGATATTGTTTAATGATCAGAGAAAACATTGATTAACCTTCAACAAGAATTAAATCATTTGATTAGTTGATTATTGATCGAATGTAGATTAACTAATTGTTGATTCTTTCGTTTCTTTTTTTTCACCTATCAATTTCATCTTTTAATAGTGATTCTAATGACCCCAATTTAGATTTTACAATTAGCCTTAAATTATCAAAATTAATCCTTGACATAATTATTAGCAAATTAGCTTAACAATTAAAGTTAATTGTTGTTATCGTTATGGAGATGAAAAAAATATCTATTTGAGTTTGATTGTTATTAGATTAAACATTTTTGATTTTCCTTTCTGATTAGTTACATAGATTTGATTGTGATTAAGTAAATGAATCCAATCAACAGATCGTAACTTTTCAATTTGATTTGAATTTAGATACGACTATTTGATTAGTAAATTGTTCTTCAACAATTAAGATTAATTCAACAATTACCTAAATTGTTAATTCTTTAGGTCAAGTGGTTGACGAATCACTTTCTCTCTATATGTAATTCAAATGTTAATCAACGTTTTTTTAATTATGATTAACGAAACTTTTGTCTCATCTCATAAAACAATTTAGTTATTTCTCAACAATTGATTAATTGTTATGGTCAAACGGAAGTTTATTACCATCACTATAACAATTAACTTAGAACCATTGAAATTAACGATTCTCATTCTCATCTAAATTGACAATTTTTTTTAATTGTTCATTAAAAGTTCAAGTTGATTCAATTCAATTAACGACACAGTTAAAAAGAAATGTTTTGAACTGAATAATCAACAGGTAATCAAGTTAATTGTGATTTACTTAACAGCCTAGTTGCATGTTTTGTGAGCAAATTTACAAATCAATTTGCTAATTGTGATTAAAATTAGTAAATCGGTAATTAAATTAGTGTTAAATATGGATCTCCACTAGCGATTAGCTAAATGTAGTTTGTAAAAGTTAATTCATCACGATTATTAAACGTGATTAATTCTGATTGTTATAACTGGAAACCGTTTAAATTGTTAGTTAAATCATCACTTTCAATTGTTTACCTTTTGTTTACATATGATAATAATAAACAATAACTTTCACTTTAAATTACTGACAATTTATAAATAATTTATAAATTGTTACGTGATTGCTGTTTGTATAATAAGTGATCAATTGTTATCAACATTGAAATTAATCAACATTCAATTTGATTAGCTAATTATAATCAAATTTGTCCTTATTTTAATCGTCAATATATAAACTTAACAATTGTTGTTGTTGAAATAACAACTAAATCAGTTCCGGGAGTTAACAATCAATTGAAAAGTATCAAATTGATCAAGTTTAACAATCAACTTAATTAGAAAAGTCAATGAATTAAATATCAAGGATAAAAGTTCAATTGTCGGTAATTAGTTAACTTTAATGTATCATCATCATCATCATCATCATCACAATTAAATCTGTCAAATTGTTGATTTGATGAAGATTATAATTAAAGGGACATTTAAGGTCGTCATTTGATTTAGAGGTTAGCAAATTATGATTATCATTTGTTAGCAATTAACAGTAAGTTACTTGATCAAGTGATGATCAAAGTGAAATTACTTAACCCTGAAGGTGTTTTAGTTAATAAAGTTAATCAATTTAACATGATTTTGATTGATGTATGATTAATAACCAGACAATTATAATAATAATCTTAATCCGGTTGACCATTAAAAGTTGTTACCTCTTCCGGCCATTTATTAAATCATATTCATCATTTTCATTAAAAGGAAACAACTTCGATTCAATTTACTTTATAATTTGATTATTTTATCATATTAATTAAATCATATCAATGTCACTTTGATTGTCAACAATTAGTGATCAGAGATTAACTCGTAGAGAGACAAAAAAGTAAATGTAAATTAAGTTAATTTGATCACTAAAATGCTGACCTTTTGACACTTGCCCTTTGATTTTGTAATCGCAATTAATTAGTAAATCACTAATCCAATATCAGGGAATTAACTTGTTGATCGAAATTGATTAATCCTCCATCTTTTAATTATTATTAGTTGAATTGGATTAGATAATAATCGTTATTAATCAGTTAATTGAAGAGAACTATTAAAAAGCAAATGATTAACTACTAAATTATTCAACAATCAATTTTTACTGATCAAAATTTTCCTCTTAATTGTTCATTAGATTTAAATATTAATAGATTAATGTTCGTGATTAAGCTAAATATGTAACTTTAATCATCTGTTATCAGAATTAACAATTAACAATTTAATTAACGTTGAAAGAAAAACTACAATTAAATTTAATTTAGTTGATTAGTTTCTTCTACTTACCTGACAAACCTTGTTAATACATATTCTAACCTTGATTGTTTGTAAATTGTTATCAATTTAACTTTAATAATATAACAATACCACTAATCATCACTAATATTTAAACAATTTAAGTCGATTAAGTTTCCAAGTTTGGTTTTTGTAGTAAATTGTTTTATTGGAAAAACTTTGATTAGCTGGTTAATCATTACAACAATTTACTAATATTAATATTAGATAAAAGGAAAAGTGTTAAAAATGTAAACAATTAGCCTATCCCAGGTTAAGGTGTGTTTAATCAAATTTCATTGATTGTTAATCATGATTCATGAATTAGTTTTTAAATAACAATTAACTCTAAGTTATATCATTGATTAACCTCAATTACAATGATCCGAGGACATTGTAAATTGAACAATTAGAAAGTTTTATGTAAATTAATGAGAGCTAATTGTGAACTTAATTGTTGTATCAACCTTGATAATGATATAAATTTAAATTTTTTGAAGAAAAAGTAAATCAGTTCAGAAAAAAAATGGAAAATTATTAATCTATTAATTGATGTGAAAGTTAATTCAGTTCATGATTTCAACGATCAATAGTTATTCTCAATTCATGATAACCTTTATAAGTTTGAAAACTATCAATCAACTTTTGATCTGATCGATTTCAAATTGTCTAATTACAGTTAATCTGATTAATAAATTGTCATTGATTAACCAGAAATTGATGTAAATCAATTTGATTAGAGGTAACTATTAATATATTCAATAAGTGAAAGTTATCTTAATATTATTAATAAAGCAGAATGTCAAGTGAAAGTTTAGTTGCTCAGTTCATTGATCTGGTTAATCGTGATTAATTTAAGTGATTATAATATGCGAACAGAAAAGTATTTAAATTGTTGGAAAAAAAATCGCGGAAAATCGGCCTTGAACATAATCGGTGCACCGAAGTCCAAAGTTAATGCAGATGAAGTTTAAAGAAACAAAAAGAAACGATAATTAAGTTAATCCATTCAAGTAGAAAGCGTGTTAACGTTACAAGTATCTAATCGAGTGTCGTTGTCAACGAAAGTTCAATTTCGTTAACACGTTACGACGACGACATTAATAATAAAACGGTAATAATAATGAAAAGGTTGGATTATTTTACCTTCATCACCATACCTGTTGATACAGTTTTTCAATCTGATGACACAGAAAATGAATGAAGAAAAAAAGTTTTCCTTCTTGTCTTTTAAAGTTGATTAACTTTTTTCTCTCTCTCCAGGTAAACAAATAGGACAACAATTAAAACTATTCCGTTGATTAAGATAATCATCTTAATGATGAGATATAAAGTTTTCATTATCTAATCCATTCATTTTCTGTGGGTCAATTTGATTTAATTAAATTGTTCTCAGCGACAACTCTTTCGAAACAAACTTTTCACACTAATCGTAATCGAATTAATCTTTTAGATCATAAATTTTGACCTAATCGATTGAGAATTTAATTTAATTAACTAATCACGGTAAACCACCATGGTGCCAACGCTGTTGAAGCTTGTATATTATGCTAAATGATGGACAGTTATGGCCTTAAATGACCTTTGATTTTCGATTCTTTCGACTTTGTAATTGCGTTAGAACTTTTTTGTTTTTCTGTTCAACTTTCGATTCTTTTTGTTCAGTTTTTTGTTCTCAAACCTTTTTTTTTCATGTTCAATGAGATGAGTGTATGTGTGAGTGTGTTGATTAACAATTAACCTCCAACTGATCAAACGGAAATCGATACAATTTATTAAATGGGCCAATTAATTATCTCTATTGGCTGTGAGTTCAATTATCTTGAATGATTTACAATTTAAATAACTTTTTGGGTAAACAAAAAGCTGATTTCTGATTAGTTAAACTGGTTTTCTTTCTGTATCTAAATACGAAAAGTATAATTAAGTAACTAATTGAGTCAACAATTAAGAGACTTAATCAAGAGCACTTTTTTGTCAAGAGATTAGGTCAACTAAATCCGTTTTATTCATTATCTTGATTAAGATAAATCTCAATCTATCGGAAAATTAAGTTCTAAATTATTCACTACGAAATTTGAGAAAAGTTTAAATTGTTCATTATCGTCTACTAATCAGCTCAAATAAATTGTTGATTTAGTTTAAAGTAAAACCCAATTGCTATCCAATGAAAAACAATAATGAAATCTAATTTATGATCATGTAAATGTTATATTAACCGGTTAATTGTTTCAGAGTCACAATTATCCATCTATTGAAACAATCAAACCTTTTTCAAAGTGATTAAAATGGGTAAGGTTCTAGTATCACAATTTAATCAACTAATCAAGTCTGTTTAAACATGATAATCATTGGGTGTGGATCCGGAAACATTAAGATGAAGATTAAGTCTATTAATAAGACAATTAATTTGATAATATAAAAAGCAGTAAATTTGAAACAATTAAAGATTATTATTACAATTAAGATCATCTACCTTTTGAAATCATTGTGATTAATTTAGAGAGAGAGAGAAAGTTAATCAACTTTATGATTGAACAGTAATTAACTAGATACTGATCGTGATTATTTTGATATCTATTATTTTACATGAAAAAGTTAATTGTGTTGATCACTGAGTAAATTGTTGATCATTACTTTAATTTTGATGTTAATTGTTGAAAAAGCAACAATAAAATAAATGAAAAAACTAAATCACTAATCATGTTTCAAGTTGATTAATCAAACGTTTCCAAACAAATGATTTTGAAGTGAATCCATTTGATCAACAAATAGATCAGGAAATAATTAAGAGGATTAAAATTAAATGCTAATATAAAAAACATCAGTAATCAACATGCAGATCAATCAACAGACAATTAAATCAAATAAAACAAACATGTATTAGTATTTTAATTGTTTATTACAATTAAAATAATGAATGGCAAGTTTGATTTGATTGAATGACAAGTGAAAGTGTTGAAAAATTGGATTAATTGAATCGGATTGAAGCTCATTTATTTGGTGATTGAATAAATTAATGAGATAATAGATTAAGACAATTGTGGTCAAGTTTGATGTCAAGAGGTAATTGAGTGTAAATCAATTGGGAGAAATACTGAAAGCTGTCAATCAAATCTTTAATCAATCGATAATCTAAATCGTTAATCACATTTAACACGTAAACTTGTAAATTGTAATCGTGGAAATCATTTAATCTGGTAACACCAAGGTGATTACAGTCTCGAATCATATAATGTTCACTAACAACATGTAGATGTATCGTAAACGATATAAGGTAAATCGAAAGTCGAACAGCAAAAAAAAACAAAGTTAACGAAAAGAAAAAACAACCGGAAGAAAGATCATATATCGATAGCATCTTAATAGAACTTGAGACAACGACGAGGACATAATCATTATCGATAATTAATTTTACTATCAATCAATTGACCGGAACTTTATCGATCAACAAATATCGAGGATAATAAATGTAGTAAGACAAATTATAGTGGATTAAAAGGAGATTATTGGAGAGATGAAAAAAGGGATAAAGAGACTAATCGAGCGGATTAGAACGGGAAAAGTTCTAATGTTGTGACAAAGTTTTTAATTCGCTTCCTTAACTCATCTTCAACACTTTGTCGTCATGTTGCTCAATCATCTAATCATCAATTTAATGGTTCAACTGATTGTTACCATGATAAAAATAAGCTCACTGATTAAGGTAATTTTGAAATATGATGTGATTAAGATGAGATTATGATTATTATTATTGTCATATTTTACAATCTAAATTAAGGATTCAATTGTATGGATTATGATTGGTGATGATTTGAATTATTAATATGATTGGAAACTCACTTGATGATGATGAGAGGATACAGGTAATGATTAAAGTAGAGATTAAATTTGATAATTTCATGATGATTTGTAGTTGGTTTTGTTTTGGCAGGAATTAAGAATCACAATTAAGTCAATGACACATTACGTCCTAATCTGATTAATTATTTGATGATTAAAATCACTTTAATTGCTGTTTATGTAACAATATCTCACGTTTTTAACTCAACACTTTACAATCACAATAACGAGTAACCATTGGTGGAAATTATTGGTGATTGTTGATAATTAACTTGACGATTGTTTGTAAACATGATATATAAGTTCTGATAGAATGAAACAATTTGTAAACTTTTCCGGGTTTCGATGAGTTGATAAAATCAAAATGAGAGAGAGAGAGAGAGAGAGAAAAAATCACCATCAAACGACAACGAAAAATTGAAAAAGTTCTGACGACGATTAGAGTTGCTACTCGAACAAATGAAAAAAAAAGACAAACGGCTTTTGACTAACTAATGTGTTGATTGAATCGACTACAAAAAAAAGTTGAGACAACGTGCTGATCCAACTTGTTGGTGCTCACTTTGGTTGTTTGGCTCACTCTTTACGCTATTTTGGTTTCATGTTGCTCCGATTGAAGATCGAAGCGCCATCTCAATGGTGTCTAAAGCGAACACGATTTATAAATGTAACCAAAACGTTAGACCGGTTCTAATGGTAACTAATTATTTATTAGCAACTTTTGTTTACATATAAGAGAAAAAGTTTCTTACAATTATCATCGTTAATCGTGGTTTTTATTATTGATTTTAGAAATTACTGTTTCTCCCTAATCAATTTACTTTTACATTTCGATTCTGAAAATTGTTCTAAATTCAAGTTCTTTTCGGCGAATTATCCTGCTAACTTTAGATTAACCGAGAAACTATTCTTACCTTTTTCAGTTCTTTATTCATTTGTCTGTAGTCAAATTGATTAACTAATGGTCAGGTTCAACTTGTACAGTTACGATAACTACTAACGTTGATTACTATCAGTTAATGACAAACTCAAATCGTCTAATCAACTTGATAATCAATAATGTGAATGGAAACAAAAATCACGATCATGTTATTCTTGAGTATTGTTATTTTTTTATGAACTTTTTTTATTGTATTTCAAGCAAATGGAAATGGAAATTTAATCATTCAGTTTTTTAATTGTTCTGGTTAATTCTGGTAAATTGTTATTTGTTAATGTCCAAGAACTGTGGTGGTCATTGGTTAACCCTAATAGACTTTTTAATTGTTGATGTAATTTTATAATCAACTCTACCTGAAAGAAGATGTTAATTTGATTATGTGAGAATCTTGTTGATTTACTAATCACTTTTTTTTTCTTAAATTGCCCAAGGTAAAGTAATCAAATTAACTGTTCAATCTTATCAAAGTTTCGATACAATAATTGTTACTTATACAATTAAGTCTCTTCCGATGTTTAGTTTGTTTTAAACAATCAAGAAATTACATTTAATTAACATTATAATCATAATCAGAATCTTGGTTAACTTGAGAATTTGTTTTTCGTCGTTGTCTTTTTTTAATTGTCAAAACAATTAACTCTTATAATTGGTGTCAACAATAATTCAAAATGAGCTTGGCCTTAATTAAAAAAAAACTACTCAACACAATCAACAATCAACAATAGGAAACAACTTGTAAATCTGGCAATCAAGTTAATTTACTTTTACCTTTCTCTTTAATTATAATTAACTATTCTGTCCACAGTAGTAGGCAGTTGATTGTTACTATTATTTGAATGATAACAATCATAATAACATCAACATCATTAAAATGAGAGCATCAACAAATAATACTAATCATCTTAATCTTATATAAAAATGACCTGAAATGCTGCTAAAAATACCGTTAGTTTTTGGCTCAGATAATCAACAGATTATTATTGATGAAAATTAACTTGATTGTGATTATTTATTTAGATTTTTTTCTTTATTATCACTGATTAGTTAAAGTTTTCAACGAAAATCTTTATTTTGATTAATACATATTATCAGTTAGGGTAGAAAGTTAATCAACAATAAGTTTTATCATTCAATTCATTTCCGTATTTATTGATGATTTGTTGATGTGGTGAATCAATTTTTGTTATTTAATCAACAACAATCAACAGGTTAATACACTGTAAGAGTTATAACAATCAATTACAATTTTCTGCATTGCTTTTAGCGAGAAAATTAATTTCTAACTTGGTTGATTGTTGCAAATGATAATTTACTCTGATATCTAATAACAAGCATAACTCCAAGTAGCAATTTATTAACTTTCTCTAATTGTGATTAACTATCGATACTTTATGCTTGCAGCTATTGGTGATAAATTAATTGATACAAATTGTAACAGTTCTAATTAAACTAATTCTGGTTCTAATCACAATTCAAACCAGAAAACTTTCAGGTAAATCAACTTACAATTCAGCAATTAACCAACAAGTTAATCACTTATTTGGCTAAATTTTGCTAATTGAAGATCATCAAGATGAAAATAACCTTAACAATGAATATGAATTAACTTAATCAAAGAATCTCAATGAAATTAAACTCGAAAAAAAAACAAAAGTTTCACGAACTTTTTTTTTATTTGTACATTCGAACCACCATCGAGATATTAAACAAGGTAAACTTTTGATTAAATTGTGATCAAGGTTTGATTTGAATATAATCAATTTTGCTAAACCAAGAAAACAATTAAATTTGATTCTATTTCCATTCTAATAATTAACTGATTAACAGAGATAATTGTTTATAATTGTTATAAAATATAATCATGATGATCTTTGGTTGAACAGAGTAATTTGTTATTCCAACTTTTTCAAACCTTGATTTCGTTCCTGAATAAATAGCAATAATTAACTAAATCCAGTCAAGGTTATTGTTAAATCATTCCAACAATTAGTCAGTGTAATCTTGATCACTCTCTCAGTATGGGTGATCTATGGATTTAATTGAGAGATTATTTAATCTCTCAAATGATATTAATGACATTTGTCATACAAGGTGTACAAGAGATAACCTTGATTGTCGTAATTAAATCAATCTGATTAACAAATGATAACAAGGTTTGATTACAAAGGGAAGCTCAGTGTCTTAATTAATTGCGTATTAAATTAATCCTTTTTTGGTTATTCATCATCTCAGTTACTTTAGACTCATAATTGTTGATCATCCTTGGTAACTAGTTTCATACACACACACAATCAACTTAATTATGATTGAAATAAATTGTTTCTCTTTAATTTGATTGCTTTACAAGAGTTATGATTATAATGATTAATTGTTCATCATTAGTTTTTAAATCCTTGGATATTTTATTTTTACTATTACTTAGGAAATTGATGAAAATCCAGAAAATTTATGTAATTAAATTCAAATTTGTATCTCAACTCTAATCACGATTAACTCTGTTTACAATTTAGGTTGATTATTATTAATTGTTGCAAGGGCTTAACTAGTCTAGGAAAATTAATTAAGTCCTCGAAAGTTGATTAAGAACAATAATTAATTACAATTGAAACCATGAAAAAAAACAACTTATCAATTTGTTTCAGTTATTCATGATCATGGATCAATGTTTAACTTGATTGTGATTAAACATTGAGAGGTCGAAGTTAATTTTGTTGTATTTCAACAATTAAATTTGATTGACCATAAATAAAATATTATTATTATTAACGATCCCCTTGAAACTAATACAATCTCATTGATTTGTAATTAACTTTGCATCAATTGATACAATTTAAATTTTGATTGTTAAATCAATTCAAATGTACCATCAACTTTCAAACTCTCCATGGTCAAGATAATTTAGACTTTTACCAATTTGTAACAGTAAAAGATTAACACTTTTAAACTGTTTGATTACTTTATTAGCTTTCGATTCAATTGTTAATTGTGATACCACAAAGAAAAAGGAAAAATTTATAAACACAATCATCATCACAATTTAATCATTACAATCAACAACTGGTCATCCTTTAGCTTTGGGTGTGCCAATGTTAACACTGATTCGATTCGTGATTTGGTTCACGAGCCATTTGAAGGTAATCATCTTCATCTTCACAATCAAATCATCAAATCGTATAACAGTAATGTAAAGATGAGATGATGATGATGATAAAAGAAATCACAATGAACGCGTTAATTGTGCTCGAAACAATCAAGAAAATATTTCAAACTTTTTGAATTCTGATAAAAATTGTTTCTTTTAATTGTTGTTGTTGTTGTTGTTTTTTGATTGTTGATTGTTGATTGTTGATGAAGGAAACATTTTCAATGAGGCGTTGGTCAGTTTAAAACAAAACTCGAGCCATTACCATTAATAATGATATTATAAATTCATCAACAACCATCTCCAGGTCAAGGTTGATTAGGAACTCAGAGGAACCAAGAGTAATCATGATTACAATTAATTTAAAATAAATTTGAATGCCAAAAATGGGAATTAAATTCATTTTTTAAGGTATGGTCAATACTAATGGTCAAGCAAGTTTACTGGTCACTTTAAAGTAAAAGGCACGTTAACACGTAATCCAGTTGGTCCACCCTTGAGTTAATTATTAATTGTTGTTGATACTGTTGAGTTAATCCGCTGGTAAGGATAATCAGCAAATTGTTTGATATTAAATTACCTTAATCAATTTTAATCTATTGGTTAAAATTGTCTTTGATTTAGTTGTTCATTTAAGGTCTTATTGTTTTCCTTTTGGTTGTTGATGTTGACTGATTAATGATTTAGTGCAACTATAATTAACTAACATTGATTAGGATTTAAAATTTAAAACAATCAATTGTATTGTTACCAGTAGTTGGTGTGGTTTAGTAATTTAGATGATTAAATCAGCTTTTATTTACCTTAATTGTTAGACCAAAATTTCCTGTTAATTTAGATTGAGTTGAATCGTTTAAGTTTGTTAATCAATGTTAATCACGATTTTAAACTTTAACAATTTACTAATTTCTCTAGTACCATTTACCAGACAAGGACAGCAATCAATTAATTGTAAATTAACAAGGTAAAAAGGGTTGATGATTATTTACATTACAATTTAATTTTGTAATAAGTTGAGCAATCAATTTATAGGATGTTGATTGGGTTTTAATAATAATAATAAATAAATTGTGTGAGTGTTGGATTACAATTAGTTGATTGTCTTGATTTGTAAATTCTAGATCAATCCTAATAACAGAGTTAATTGTAAATCAGTTGAAATAAGAGATTGAAATTAAAAGTAATCATTTGATTGATGATTGATTATCAATATTCATTATCATCTGTTGATTGTTTTACAAATATTTTGATTAACAATCAACAATTAAATGAACTTGTTCCCATTCAGAACATCAAAATTTTTCAATATCAAACAAGAGCAAATAATTAATCAACTAATTGTTGCTAACAATCAATTGAACAATTTCACAAGTAAAAACCAATAATCAAATAACATTAATCATTATGATTAAGAAACAAAATGATTTGAAAAGGATAAATTGTTTCGTAAACATTTCAAT